GTTGCCGTCTCAAACACGCAACTCACTGCTCCAATTTTGCTTGACTGCTCCTTGTTGATTCTGACCAGAAACTGGCGCACATGCAGAGCTGTATTGAACACGCACATGTCTGCTCCAATTTTGGTACTTTGAGCTTTAACAACTGGGCCACCCGGCCTGAAGTAGACTAAAGATTCTTTATGTTATACGATTAAAACGAGTGACTTTTGTATTGTATTTATATTTTATTTGGCTAAAACATTAATTTCTTAAGAATTTCATAGCAATGATCCAACGACCAGTGCTAGAATATTAAGAACAATAGGAATACGATATTAAGAATGCATTGACACTTATATTATTAAGAATATTAGGAATGCGATTTCAAGAATGCATTGATACTTATATTATTAAGAATATTGGGAATACGACATTAAGAATGTGTGGACACTTATATTATTAAGAATATTAGGAATACAATATTAAGAATACGTGGACACTTAAATTATTAAGAACATAAGGAATACGATATTTATAAAACGTGGACGCATATTATTAAGAATATTAGAGATACCTATATATGGAATACATGGACACTTATATTATTAAGAATATTATGAATACGATATTAAGAATGTGTGGACACTTATATTATTAGGAATATCGGGAATTCAATATTAAGGATTCATGGACACTTATATTATTAAGAATATTGAATATTAGAGATACAATATTTGGAATACATGGACACTTATATTATTAAGAATATTGGGAATACGTGAGAGATATTATTAAGAATATTTGGAATACGTGGAGACTTATATCAATAGGAATATTAGGAATAAAATATTTTGAATATGTGGACACTTATATTTTTAAGAACATTAGAAATACGATATTCATAGGCCATGGGCCTATTTCTTCAGTGCCGTCACTTTTATTCTATTCTATTTAAAATATGTGGACACTATATTGTTAAGAATATCAGGAATACGACTTATATTATACGTGGACACCTATAGTATTAAGAACATTAGGAATATGATATTTAGAATAAGTGGACACTTATAAGGAATATTAGGAATACAATACTTTAATACCGTACATGCATTGGAGAGTGTACTCATCAAATATTTACAGTAGGTACTCTAAAGTCCTCTTCTTTTGTAAATGATGAAAATGTAGAATAAATGACATTTTCTGTGATTTTTACTCGTTTCTTCTTTATTGATGTGATATTACCATATCCATGAACATGACATTGAGCATTTACAATGACCTTGTCCACTGCAAGCTTCATATCAGTAGCCATATAGCATTTCTTCTGTATCTATAAGCTTACAGGATGGCTTATAATTTAGCACAATTTTAAATAATCCAGTCAAGTGATTTCACTATAACAAAAAAGATCGTAAAAATATACCTGAAACAGGAAGGAATATTTTAGTGACAACCATCAAACTTTGGAGAATAAATCATATTTTAGGTTAATTACCTTTCATTCTTTGCTGCCCAGTGCTTGATTCTATCCATGAAATTCTATGCATGATTTTGTGATGACTGATGCATTAATCTTTAATCTTTTGCCAAGTGAAATTTTTTTCACTGAGCGAGGTAAATGTAATCAAAATTCTTTGTTGTTAATGGAGTTTTTCCTTTAACTGGAGCCTTTGCTAACCAAGATTCTACTGCAAGTGGGTTTTTAGGGGTGTCCTTTATTACCACAAGGAGGGGTTTCCCTTATTACCCCCGTCTCGCAGAAATGGCCCCTTTTTTTCGATGAGATACGCAAATTCTGTCTAATAATGTTTTTAAGCCAACATCAATGGATAACTTTTATGTAAGTAAAATTTTTCAATATGATGAATATATTTTTTTTTTTGCTACAGATCTAGGCAGAGGTGCTTTTCCAAAATCTCACTTTTCACACTTTTTTCAGGAATTTTTAGAGTTAGTAAATGTATGACATCTTGACTTGCTTTATGCTATATAGATAGTAAAAATGTTAAACTTTAGGCTACCATTTTTAGTTTTGCAATATTTTGATTAGTTTAGCTGCTACAACATTTCTACAAAATGTTGGAGGACTGTCCATTATTACCCTGCCCGTCCCTTATTACCCCGTTTGACAGTAATTCTACAGCTTTAGCCGGTAAAAATGAGCATCATAGGAACGAAGGTAAAATGCTCATCCTTACATCCCAAATTGAATGACAATGAATGGATTTGGTAGGTATTTTATTAATCTTGTTTATTTGTAAAAATGGAAATGTCTCTTCTATTTCAGAATCTGTTCTTGAATACACTTGTGAAACTACCGTAATACTTAAGGCTTGTAGTCAAAATGCAGCGAAGTCTGAGAGGGAGGTTTTTGCAACCATCGTGTAAAATCTTTGATCTGCCCAAAGCTTGGCTAGTCGCTACCCTTGAGCTTGTACTCTTTGTAATATGATATCCTAGCCAAACCCTTCTTCGCGGTAACTGGTCGCTTTCAGGTGGCCGAGGAATGGCAAAGGTCGGCTACAACTAATTGGATAGGCCGACCACTGGCCACATATTATTCTTCGCCCCTCATTGACTTCGCCTTTACCATGCCACCCGTTGTGAACTGACAGTCGAGTAATTTACGACGTCTCTTTCCCCTCAAACATTGCACAACGTCTCCATTTGAGCAGCTAGTATGCGGGATTTTCCCTCCGCGTATCAGCAGACTCGATCATAAATATTTGTTGGTAGAAAATATCTATAACAAGGAAGCTGATCAAGGAATGCCGAATATACCATTCAATTGACAATAAAAATTACAACCCGTTTATATCTCGAAAAAAGTGTAGAAGTCGCAGACATGATGAACAATAATATTCAAAGTTTCTTGAAATTTCCCCTCATTAAAACTCTTTTAATACAAAGTATACATATTTTTTATTACTGGTCGACGCTTATAAATAAATAGCTGGGTAAGTACGGAAAAATCCATATCGCCATCTCATTTGCGAGTGGAGTAAAGTCTATCCTAATTAGTGAAGAAACGCATAGGGAAGAGCCCAGCCTGTTCAAAGCCTCTCGGGTCTCAATCAGGGCCTTAAGGCTAAATTAAATTAAAAAATATTAATCAAATAAATAGTAATTAATAAAATAATAATTAAATTGAATGGAAGGTGATAATCGACCACCAATGCCAGTAACATTGCCAGCAGCACGTGGTGTGCCAGCCTTCAACTTCAACAGAAATGATAAGAAGTAATCTAAACTTATTGTTAATCTTATTTCTAACTGGAAAATTGGCAGAAGCACTGAATCAGCCAAAAATACCCTTGAATCTAGCCAACTTCACTTGTTTCTGTTGCCCTCTCCCCAGCTCTAAAGCAAGTCATTTGAAATGTTGTAGCTGCTAAACTATTTGAAATATTGCAAAACTAGAAATAGTGGCATAAAGTTCAATATTTTTCCTATCTATGTAGCAGAAAGCACATTATAAAATCATACATTTACTGCCTCTAAAAAATTCCCTGAAAAAATGTGAAAAGTGAGATTTTTGAACCTCTGCTAATGTCTGTAGCAAAAAAAAAATATTTGCCACATTAAAAAATTTCACTTGCATAAAAGTTGCACACAGGTGTGGCCTTAAAAATGTGATTGATGGAATTTGCATAGCTCATTAAAAAAATACTGCCATTTCCGAATGATGGGGCAATAGGGGACAGCTCTCTGGGGTAATAAGGGACACCCCTAAAAGCATGTTTACAGTAGAACCTTGGTTAGAAAAAGCTCCAGTTAATGAAAAAATCAACAACAACAATTTTGATTACATTTACATCACTCGCCCAAAAAAAGTGCACTTAACGAAAAATTAATGCATCATTGGTCATCACAAAATTGTGCATAGAATGTCAAAGATAGAATTGTGCACCAGGCTACTTAGAATGAAAAGTAGGTAATAACCTTAACTATGATTTATCTCTCCAAAAAATATGATGGTTGTCATTAAAATATTCCTTTCTGTTTCAAGTATGTTTTTTACAATCTTTTTTTGTTATAGTGAATTCATTTGACTCAATTAAAATGGTGCAAAATTACAAGCTTTCCTGTAAACTGCAATGATTGTAATGCGCATTCCTCTGTGCCAAACACCGCTCATCGGCCATATCAATTGTAATTCACAATCAAAAAGCTCTGGTCACAGCTTGAAAGATAGATTATATTTTACAACTATTTGCTAAATAACTATAGTAGTTGCACTTTTCGTTTTACATTGTTTGTATGGTATTGTCAATTTTTTAAGTGTCCCAAGATAATAGTCATTTTGTAAATCCAATCTTGAATATTGCATACAGTTTTTATAAAAGCGTTGGCAAAAACGATTGTGTGATTCTTGAAAATTAGAGGCTAAAATGTGTTATTTTCCTTAATTTTCACAGAAGAAATTAGGCAAGGATCGTAAGCTCATAGCTAATTTGGAATACTTTTCTGTCAGTAAATTTTACTTGTGTAAAACTATTGGTAGCCTTTGCTACCAATAATAATAGCCTTTGAATTTTTTTCTTAACTGGAGCCTTTGCTAACTGAGGTAAATTCCGCAAATAAAGTTTTCATGCTGACACTTGTCTACCATTTTTTTCTAAGTGAAATTTTTTAATATGGCAAATATTTTTTTTACTACAGACCTTAGCAGAAGTAACTTTTCAAAATATGGTTTTCACCATTTTTTTTTTTCAGGAATTTTTCAAAGCTAGTAAATGTAATATTTTTGAACTTCCTTTATACTAAATAGATAGGAAAAATGTTGACATTTACGCCACTATATTTCGTTTTGCAATATTCCAATTAGTTTTGCTACTAAAACAGTTTTACGCCGTGTCGGAGGACTGTCCCGAGTTACCCCATCCGTCCCGAGAAGCCCTGGTTGATGATACTTATGTGATTGTGAGTTTGTTTTTATTGATGTGTGTTCTAAGGTATTGGTAATTATTTAAGTACCATGATAATCCTTTGTCTAATTGACACAAATCACTTTTTTTTACAGAATGATGAAAGCCTAGTGTAAAAGCAAGCATAGTGTTTACCAATGTATATAGGTGTAAATTTTGTAAGTTTTTTGTACTGAACTACTGTGAAAAATCATTTACACAAAGTATTTATGATGAATAAAGCCAGCAAAAATTCAACATCAAAAAGTAAACCTAAAGCTAAGAAAAAGCGAGATGGCTGTGAAGTTGATAGTAATGGCGTCACAGAGGAAGCTCTGCGCCACCCTGCAAAAAACTCTCATGGTGGCAGTAAGGCATTGCCTTCTGCGCTTAAAATCCTATCAAAAGGACTGCCCAATGGTGTTATTGGACCAACAGGAGGCAACCAAATTACATCATCCCAGCACAATATTCCAGATGGTAAATTGAAGAATGATGTTGAAAAAGTGTCATCTAAGGTGATCAATGCTAGTGAAAATGGCAGTAAAGAGAAATCTGCAGTCAGCATTGATGCTAAGCATTCGTTTTCATGCTCATATTGCTGCATCAGTTTTCCTACTCAGAGTGAATTGCTTCTTCATTGCCGAACTCAAGAACATCAGGCCACCATCATGTCTGATGATGGACATGACTGGCAGCACCGACCACCTCCTCGAGGCCTCACAAATGCTGAATTCAAGCTTTGTTCAAGCGTTGGCCAAGGTTGGCCAGTACGCTGCAGGCTGGGAGAACAGTGCATTGGGGCGCATAGTGAGGCAGAGCTGGCGGAGTGGCAGCAGAGGTTTGAGTATCGAGCACTGAAACTGCAGGAGGCAAGAGAAAAGCATCTACATGGAGCTTCTTATTCAGACCAACTCCTAGATAGGCTCAGCAATGCCCAGCACCAACACACCATTGTCACTGATGAGGTAAGACCATGCCAAAGTTCTTTAATATTTATTATTTTGAATTTCCTTTGTTCATTTGTATTCTAACAATAGTTTAGTTAGGGTTTTCTAAATAAGAAATATTTATTGACAAATTTCATGTTTGTATGTATCATAGAATTACTTGAACATCAGCATATCTATACTAGGTAACTTCCTACATCCCTGGCATATGACTTTATTTCATTCTTATTCAAGTTTTTGGCAATTGTCAAGTTTCACAGAACATTTAAATAATTAAAAAGATAGTGAGACTATTTATAGATATTGAAGAAAATATTCTTTGACTTAATTCCCTTGTGCTTTGTATTGCATTCAAGTATGCTTGTATTTAGCTTGGTAGATAATTCTTGGTCAACATTTTAGTATGCGACATAATGATTTCATTTCTCTAATTTTATGTTTTCTCAGACCCAGGGAATTGTTGCTGTTCATCCGACTGCCACACTTTGTGTGTCTGAGAAGACATCTTCTCACATTTGGGAACTTATGGTTTCAAATGGATGCCCTCTCTCAGTAGTTGCACTACTCCATGACACTAATAGAAGCCATTTCTCATTAGCGTCTGTTGCTAGAGTGACTCTCGACAACAATGGTAAAGTGATCAGTAAACGAAGCAATTCAAACACTGGTTTTGTTGAAGTAACAACTGATGGAGAAATTGGTTATCAAGAATGGTGCAATCCTAACCTTCAAGAAGAGCAACTTGAATCATCAAATGAATCAAAGCTTGTGTACCAAGTGTGTGTCAAGTTTCAGACTGACATCTATGGAACCTTTAGACAAACAGTTATCCTTGATTTAGGAAAAGAACCTGTTCTATTGCAACGACTTTGTGCTGACGTTATTCCCGTGAATGAAATGCAAAAGCTTGAGAAGACAAAGAATGTTGTCATCAGTCAAGCTCAGAGGTGGTGTAAAGAAAATGCCACCATAATACGATCTTTTGATGACCCCTCGGCTGTTGCTGACAAGGATCCTGCCTACAATGACCTTGATAATGAAGTTCTTGCTCTCTACCCTCCTCCTACAAACATGAACTTTGTCATCTCACAATCTACTTTAGATAAAGCTGTAACAAAAGAAAATTATCGCTCAAGGTTTCATGACCTACTCTACATGGAAGAAATTGCACAGTTTGAACTCATGCGCCGCTTCAACATCAAAATGAGTATCTTGGCCACCCGCAGCTACATCCTCATGCCTTCAACTTCTTCAATGGCTAAAGTAAGCTGCAATCATTTACTGTCAACATTCAGTCACAAAAGCCACCAGCTTATTTCTAAATGCATTTCACAATTGCATGCCTGACATTGCCCTTCAATGCTTGAAAGTATTTGAACATCTTGTGTCATTGTCCTATAATACTATGAATATTTAAGAGTAATTTAGAAGTTTAACACCATACATTGTTGCTCAGTAATACTGTGCATCATTACACATATTTTGTATTTGAATTTCATGGTTTGTTCTCCTGCAATACTATAAATCATTCAATTTATATTGTAGTCAAATTTCACGTGGTCTTGCTCTGTAATACAAAACGTCATTAAAGGGATTTTTGAGCAAATTATCGTGTGCTGTTGTATTTGCTCTGAAATGCTATGTATTATTATTTAATGTGTCCTAGTGCATTTTGCTTTACTTTATACTTGTATTTCAGTATGCCCCTCCTGGAGAGCTGTTTGCGCGTCTTGAGTTGTCATCTGACATCTCAGAAGATTCCCCTCATGGCCGCCTCATCCTGACAAACTGCAACTCTATTCTCATAGCTGCAGTTCAAGATGAACAAAATAACTCTGCTGGTAACTATGCATTGAATTTTTTCTTATTTTCTTCTTATTATTATTTTTCTTATTATTCAACAAAACATTGGCAGAGTATTGATCATTGTTGATTTCACATCTGTTACATAATTGATATTCAAGCTAGTGGCATGAGTCAAAATTTCAGGTTCAAATTTTAGCCATGTGCTTTTGGTTGGACTTGAAGAATAGAATTGAATTGAAATGATTCAACATTTTTTGTATTATAGCCATTTTATCAATTATTTTTAGCATTTTTGAAAGGTTGAATATTCTAATTAACTCAAAATACCTTAATTATCTTTTATTTAGATGGCACTAAACCAAAGCGGGTTGTCTTTGAGGCCATCATTGAAGACAAAACCAAGAAGGAGATCTACGTGAAGCTGAACCAGCGCGTTGTGGAGGAATTGCAACTCGTACCAGAGGAAGAAGTGACACTGGAAGTTCAGTTTCAGCTCAACAGGCTGCCCCTTGCTGAGATGCACTTTGCTGTAGACAGAATACATCAGCTTGGGCTGCTCTTCCTCGATCCTGATGTGCAAACTGTTATTCCTCAGCCATCCAAGTTAGTTTCTAGCCTATAGAGTTATCTCGTTTTCATTATGTTGTTATTCATAACATTATTGCTAATGGTATAATTTAAAGATAATATTTTTTAATAAACATATACCAGTTCTGACTGGTTTGTTTATTGTATATAGGGCAGACTTGGAGGCTCAGTTTGCCGACACTCGACTCAACCCTAAGCAGCGGGAGGCTGTCATCGCCATGACCGCTCCTGTGCTCGTACCCCTACCTCCCATCTTGCTTATTGGTGGGTTGCCCAAATAGCATAGCATAATGGCGTAGTACGCTCTATTTTCTTGTCTATGATTGGTGGATTTTGCTTGGAAAGCCATCTGTGATTGGCTGATTAACTTACGATCTCTTAACTTTTTTTTGAAAGTATAAGCCCAGGGCCCATACTTTAAAAAAATTAGGAGATCGTAAGTTCATCAGCCAATCATTGACGGCCTTTCGAGCAAAATCCACCAATCATAGACAAGAAAATAGAGCGTAAGTACTTACGTTCACATAGCGAGCTTTGAAAGTATCCACCAATCATAGACAAGAAAATAGAGCGTAAGTACTTACGTTAACTTAGCGTGTTTTGAAAGTGTGGCCCCTGAGCTGCTCCAGTATTCTGGGGTCGTACTAACAAAAAATATTCAAGAGTTCGTAAATCCTTCAGCCAATCACTGACGATTTTTAAAAGCTAAACCCACCAATCACTAAAGAGAAATTGGGTGCAACATGTAGTTAAGACGCTGAGTGTACAATTTTAATAGTATTGTAACTAGTTACTGGTCTATATCCATTTTAGTCTGTCTTATGCTGCATGTTTAATCTTGTACATACTTTTCTTATATTACTCGTCTAAACATACTGTATCTCACCTAGATTATCATGTCAGCGAGTGCTAAAGTGGCAGAAATTCCCTGAGCTGCTTACATATGATTGACTACATCTTATTTACTCTTTATCTTCTATTTTATAACTTATACATATCTTAGTGTTTTATATAATTGCTAAAATTTTGCAATTTTCAGGCCCATTTGGCACTGGCAAGACGTACACCCTGGCGCAGGCATTGAAGCAAATTGTGCAGCAACAGGGAACTAGAGTCCTCATCTGTACGCATTCTAATAGGTCTGTTATGAGTTACTTCAATAAACCTGCGCTTTGTAGCCCTCATATCATTATTGGAATTGATTTTATGTAAAATATATTAATAAATGTCAATGTACATAGGGAATATATACCATAAAATCTGGTTGATACATATCATACATTTAATTTGTTAATTACCTACATAATATTGTATTCATGAATGAATTTTTTTAATCAAGCTCTAAACGGCCCAGTTCAATTTGTTAAGAATATTTTTGATTCGCGCTTCAAAGCTTTACTTCTCTCAAACAGCGCTTGGTGCATTTTATTTACCCTAATACCATGTTACTTCATTAGCACAATAATTGGTGGTTTCTGAGATCCTTACAATTTTATTTCTTGTTTCATCAGTGATTCAGTGAATTTTGTTCAAAAATAAAATTTGAAGAATCATAACATAACATTTCATAAATCTTTACAATGAATTAAATTCTCTTTTATTTTTCAGTGCCTCTGATCTGTACATACGAGAATATCTTCACCCGTTCGTCAAAAGTGGCCTGACTGAAGCTAAGCCTCTTCGCATATACTACCGCCACAGATGGGTTGCAACTGTACACAGTGATGTTCAAAAGGTTCATATTTAATTTCCTATTAAACATACATGTTTTAACAATAAATATGCTCACATTGTCTATCAATAAATTAGCTTCCATTGTGTAGCAATAAATTTTACACACATAGTTAATTTTTTTAAGTTTTTGTTTCGAAAGCTGCCAATCTTACTCAAGAAAAATTGCTTGTAACTTCATCGCTTTTGGCAGTTATCCCGATGGAGATAGCAGTTCTTCCCGTTGGAGATGGAGAATAAATATGACTAAGAGAATATATATAAGAGTTCTGTGATTATTTCAATTTTATTTTGCCCAACTAACTTAAAGGTGGAATTTAAGCATTTTTGTTATCCGTTTCCAGTTCTGCCTGATTGACATGAAGGTCAAGTTATGCAGCCTGAGAATTTTGATGAGTTCTGGGAATTTTTTTAATTTTTATATTAGACGTTGCCAAATTAAATACTGTTACAACTTTGCGGTTATACATCAGCACTGCCTGCTTGAATTCTTAATTAATATTCACATTTAAATTTTTGTGTACAAGTTCTTCGATCATTTACTTTTTAGATTGGATGTTAGTCAATTTAGGTTTGTTGTTAACTTTGTTGTTTTCAGTACTGCCTAACTGGCCTGAAAAACGAATTATACAGCCTGAGAGTTTTTACGATTAAAATAATCACCTGTGGTGATTATTTTAATTTTTAGGTATGATGTTACTTACTTGAAGACAGTATTGAACATTGACATTTGTTTGCAGTACTGCCTGATTGAGATGGAGAACGGCATGCGGCGGTTTGTGATGCCTACGCAGGAGCAGGTGCTGCAACACCGCGTGGTCGTCACTACCCTCAACACCTCGCGATGTCTCTTCGATCTCGGGCTAGACAGAGGTGCCTGGACCCTGTGTTTTAGTTGCTGTTGGAGTCCTTAGTTGATTGTGACAGCAGTCTTTTCCGTGTTGAGTGTGGATTTGAAATATGTTTTAGTTGCTGTTGGAGTCCTTAATTGCTTGTGACAATAATCTTTTCCGTGTTAAGTGTGGACTTGAAACACGTTTTAGTTGCTGTTAGAGCCCTTAATTAATTGTGACAGTAGTCTTTTCTGTGTTAAGTGTGGACTTGAAATATATTTTAATTGCTGTTAGAACCCTTAATTGATTGTGAAGAGACTTTTTTGTGTATTGCACAGACTTGAAATAGGCATTTGTAAACTTTTTTGAGGCATGATTATTATTAACTTTAACTTTTAATTCACGATTTATTTATCTCAGAAATTAATTGTTCAATGTATTTAACTAATGAAATAATTTATTGATGTCCCCCAGGCTCTTTCACCCACATTCTGGTGGACGAGGCAGCACAAGCGATGGAGTGCGAGGCGATCACGCCCCTGGTGCTGGCGGGCCCCAACACCCGCGTGGTGCTCGCCGGGGACTACATGCAGCTCAGCCCTGAGGTGTTCTCCCCGTTCTGTGAGGAGAAGGGCCTCGGCTTGTCTCTTCTTGAACGGCTCTACGACCACTACCCTGCCGACCACCCCTGCAAGATACTCCTTCTGGAGAACTATCGATCTCATCCTGCTATCATTAAGGTAATTCATCTTGCTATTTTTGCTTAATTATCATAATTGTTAACTGCAAAAGAGTTTTTGTGAATATTCTCCTATGAAAATATTGCAAAACATTCATCAAATGATTCACAGGAAAAGCGTAAGTCCCACTATAAACTTGAAATTGAAAAAACAAATTTGTTTCGATTAGAACAGCTGCAAGTCTTTGTGCTGAGAGAGCCAATGAAAGCTCAATATAATTAAAACTAAGACCTTTGAAGCTAAAACATTGATTTAGGTATATCTGTGCTGGTTTATCATCCTTCCATTAATATAAAAAATATAACTCATTATTCACGGCAGTGAGTGACAGAGAGCGCATTTTCTCGTGCATAAATCAGTTTTCATTGCGATTAGTACAGTGCATTAGAGCTAGAGATGTCGTATCTTTAATACAGGCATCATGAGGCATGCCCACTTCTTAAAATCGACTAAAACGTGAAGTCACGGACGGACAGACAAACAGACGGACATGGCGAGCACAATAGTGCATTTTTTCTATACAGAGAAAATGCGCTAAAAATGATTTGTATGTCAATTTGTTGATGATGTAGGTACTCATTTGTTTTGTACATAAACTACCGATTGGTTAATGGTTTAATGAAGTGTACACTACATTGGCATCAATTTGTTAATGATGTACCCAAATGTACAGTACACCTCGGACCTGTTCTACGAGGGGCGTCTACAGGCGAGCGGAAACCTCACCCCACATCCCAAGTTCAAGCCCCTCACTTTCTTCACGGCCAAGGGCGAGGATGTCCAGGACACATCATCTACGGCCTTTCATAACAACAGCGAGGTGCGTCTCAATTATGTTATTAAGTGTCATCCAACACACTTTCCATAGTATCATTTACCGCCTTCCAAAACAACGGCGAGGTGCATCCAATCATGTTATTAAGTGTCGTCCAACACCTTCCATAGTATTATTCACCCGCGAATCTCTATTATATTATATTCTATGGTTCTAAGCATTTATCATTAAATTACTGTAGTTCACTTAGTCTACTCGTTGTTGAGGTTCTCATTTAATTACTATGGTACTCGACCACGTAAATACATGCCATAGACAGTGCATGCACATATACACCGATGGCTCTAAAGACGATGGCAGAGTGGGATGCGCCGCGGTAAGCGATGCTGCGAGGAGCTCGCTGAAGCTGCATGGCTATTCGTCAATATTTACGGCAGAGCTGTACGGCATCCTGTGCGCCATCGCTATTGCCAAGGAGAGCACAGACACAGAGATATGTATTTTCAGCGACTCCATGAGTGCAATCCAAGCGATCCTACATTACAACTCGCCGCATCCGTTGGTAACCACCATACACAGATGGCTGATCCGACTCTCTGCACGCCAGAAGACAGTTACATTCTGTTGGGTCCCCGGTCATGTTCGGGTGGCAGGCAACGAAGCCGCGGACGAGCTCTCACGCAATGCGGCGGCTAGAGAGACACCGCACTGGAATGAAAGTGTTCCCCATCGAGACCATTACCCAATATTTCGCAAGAAACTGCTGGACGAGTGGCAAGAAGAGTGGACACACCTTGAAAATAACAAACTCCGCAAAATTAAAGAGAACATAAGGCCTTGGCCTTCCTCGTCGCACCGCGTGCGCCGGGTGGAGGTATGCCTCACCCGCCTCCGCATTGGACACACTAGAATCACCCATGGCCATCTCATGGAACGCACGCCTGCACCTTATTGTATGGATTGCTTAGTGCCCCAGACCATAATCCACGTCCTCTGTGAGTGCAAAGTGTCTTAATTACTGTGGTTGGCAGGTGTACGAAGTGTGTGAGCGCATCAGTGAGATCATCAAGAGCTGGCCCAAGGACTGGGGTCCCGTGAACGACACCAGCATCGGCGTAGTGACGCCCTACATCGACCAGGTCGTGCGCATCCGAACTGAACTGCGGCGCAGGAGGCTGCATAAAGTCTGCGTGGAACGTGTCCTGAACGTGCAGGGTGAGTGGACTTAGGCGCAAGGCCTGCGAAGACGGCGTTCTGTACGTGGTGTTTAATCTTAGTTACCGTCGTGTACTGACAGTTACTCCGGTTACCAGGTCTTAAGGTACAAATAGCATTGACAACTGTTTGTAGAAAGTTTTAATATGTGACGTGATATCTAAGTGTGCTACCGTTTTGATGCGACTAAAATTTACCTCGTTGAAAGCTATATTCTTCATCAGGACTTTATTATAAGTTATAATTGCACAAACAAATTTTCGTAGCACTAACTGCTTTACTAAGACACCTTCCCTTTACTTTGAATCTTGTAACCATCCCGTTTCAAGTCTGAATTACTTCTGTTGTGCTCCTGTAATGAAGCTTACAAGAAAGCTGATGCCAATTGATAATACGTGCTTTCGATGCATTTCAGATATGATCTTTATACATTCGAATGTAATTCAAATCCATTTCAAGTAGGCACTTCCTTGTGGCTGTGAACTTACTTGACCAAAATTGCGTAAGAGATGTAAACTTACTTGACCTAAATTCCTTGTGGTTGTGAACTTATTTAACTAAAATTTTGCATATCAGGCAAGCAGTTCCGAGTGGTTGTGTTGTCAACCGTGCGCACGCGGCACACGTGTTCGAACGGTGACGCTGGCCTCGACTTCGGCTTTCTGTCGAACGCGAAGCTCCTGACCACAGCCATCACGCGCGCCCAGAGTCTAGTGGCCGTCGTGGGGGACCCTATGTCTTTGGTGTCCGTTGGCAAATGCAGGTTGGTTTTTATTAAGCTTAAGCTTATTTCACCGAGATTCATGTTATTTTACTCTGCTCCATGCTTATTTTTTCAAGAACTTTAATGTGCCTTTGTTTTGGTGCGTTTGACATGAACAAGGAACCAATGAACAAGTTGAGATGTGCATGTGTACCTGTGAAAGTGATAACCATACGATCATCCTGCTGTTTGTGACAGCGGGATGATCGTACCTCCATCCCCAAAAGCAACAAAATAATTATTATTTTACTGGAAATTGTAGTTTAATTTCTATTTTTTTTTTGCAGGAAATTATGGGAGACATTTGTTTACGCGTGCTACGAAAGTGGGTCCCTGTACGGCACAACCTGGGCAGCTCTTCGGGCTCAGTTGGATGGCGTTGAGCTCAAAAAAACTTTCGAACTTAACCCACTAGCTCCCGAATTCGTGCCTCGCTTCTTGCGCGTGGCTGCTACTGAAGGCGTAGAAGCTGCTGCTCATGCTGTGGCTGCTGCCGTTGCTGCTGCTGCCGCTGCTGCTAATTCATCTTCTCAGCGACCGATGCAGGTGACGGAAAATGTGCAGTTTCAGCCACAGCAACAGACGCAACAACAGCAATCATCCATCCACCTACCACAGCAGCAACAACAACAGCTACAGATGATGCCCCTTCAAGCATCAACGGTGATCCTGGGAACAGCTGCCACTACTGCAAAAGGTGGCGCTGTCTTTCCCAACTTTGGAGGTTACAATACTGTCGTCTCACCATCTTACTTTGCGCCCACGACTGCTACTGCTCTCCCCTCTTCCATCGCAGCCGCCACTGTCACCCCGCCTTTCTTCGTTAACGCGCCTCCTCCCCAGCAACAACGAGCTCCTCCTCGTCCTCCTCCTCCCACTGCCACGCCTCTGCCTCCACATCTCCTGCGTTTGTACAAGCCCCCTTATCCGTCCGACCAGCTGCCTCCTATGTACACGCCGCCGCCTCCCCTGCCGTCGTACAACCTCATGACGGCCCCGCCACTGCCCCCCTCCTGGCAGGCATCGGCCGTTACCTCCAGCTCCACAGTCCCCCCACCTCGAGCCTTGGCGGTTGCCCTTCCTTCAGTAGTGGTCGCTGCGTCGGCGAAAGCACCGCCGTTCTTACCTCCTCCACCAACCGCGCAGATAATCACTGCCAACGCTGCTGCCAACCTTGGCATGGGGGCATCGCAGCAGCAACAGTTGTTGCAGCTACAGCAGTTGCAGCTCCAACAGCAGCAGCAACAACTGTTGCGGCAATCTAACTTATTGTCACAGCAGCAACAGCAACAATCGACAGTGCTAGACTTGCAGCGCCAGCAGCAGCAGCTGCAGCAGCAACAGCAGATGGCAGTAGCCTGTACTTCTGCTGCTGTCCTGAGCTTACAAAAGCAACAAAATTCCATTGATAAGTCCAACGCATTGAGCTCACTTAATTCAAGCAACGGTTTACAGTTCTTGAACAACATCCATTTCCCAGAAAACGACAGTGTTGATGGATCAAACATCTTGGACGCTAGCGTTACTTCTGGCGCAGGCATTACTGTTGGAGATCAGAGCGTGACTTCCGTTCATAACTCCTGGGCTTCTAAAGATCAGCAGCAGATTCAACAGCAACTGCTTTTGCAACAGCAACTGCAGCAACGCCAGCTGCAGCTGCAACAACAACAACAACAACAATTGTCGTTCAGCAGATTAGGGTTGGTCTTAAAATAATTAGATGATATTTTGGAATTTGCGCATTATACTTCGCATAATATTTTATTTGGTTCATTCCATTGACACTTGAACGTGCTACTATTACTAGTACCGATATAAAATTTGATGTTTTTCCCCTTTTTTTCTAATGTTATCAAACATGATATTCAATCATTTTTCTGATCACAAATTCACTGTGCAGATTGTCAGATGGGCTTTCAGACACTCCCTTCACCGGCACAGAAACGTCAAGAATATCCATAGCTGACAACAAAGCTGACGCTTGGCGCTCTGTAAACTCTATTACTGCGAACGCTGGCAGTGACGCCAGCCTGATGTCGAGGAACGGTCTTAATTCTGCTTTCTCCAGTCAAATGACGCCTGGTAAAAATGACGCCATCCCCAACATAGCTAGTGCTGGTAAGATGCTCACTGTTCAGGAAGTTGAGATGAACCAGAAATTCCTTCAGCCACGCTTCCTGTTGCAACAGCAGCAACTCCAGCAGCAGAACCTGGGCCTGTCGGACACGTCTGTGCTCCCCAGCAGCGATGGTATCAACAGTTCTAGGTTACCTTCATCTCGTCCCTTGAGTATGACATCAAATATCAGTGCTAGCCTTGGTGGGGGCGAGTTGTTATCGCAACATCACATGAATAACTCATCATTGTCAAGCAGCAGTCGCCTCGGTGGAAGCGCGTTTTCTTTAGTCAATACAACCATGACCGATCGAAGTGCGTCTCCACCTCCTGGCTTCAGCGGTCTCTCTATTCAAAATTCCTTGAACCAACTTCGGGTTTCTGATGGAATTCAAGCATGGCAACAACAAGAATCAGGCTCTCGTGGGGTGGCCACTAATCTGCCGCTTTACTTGAGACGCGGCACCAAAGATCGGTCTCATGAAGATCTGATCAATTCCGCGTCTTTGTCTGGAGTACAGACGCAGAGAGAAGACAACAGGCACTCGATGATCCCAGATTTATCTGGCAGCAGTGGAAGCAATTACTTGCTGAATACAAAGAGTTCGTTCCTTCCCCTCTCTTCTCAACAGTCAAGCCCGTTACCGAATTCGTCCATTTCGGCTTCACTCCTGGCCAACTCACGATCTAATTTAGGTAACTCTTCTGGCTTCAGTCAAAGTTTTGGACAACTGGGCGACATTTCCAGCGGCAGCAACTTACGCATGAACTCGTCAGTAATTAACAGTTCTAATACAAGCAACTCTCTATTCGGAAATCATTCAGGCGTTAGCGATAGTCGCAGCCTGTTCAGCAGTGGAGTTGGCAGCCTCGGAGGTGACAGCGGACTCTTTGGTAGCAGCGCCAGCGGCTTGGTTCGGTCGTCTTTGAGCAGCACAAGCGACGGCTGGAGCAAAGGCAGCAACGTAACTGGTCCTTCAGCAACTTCTTCCGCCGACCTGCCGAGACCTGCTGACCCACTTAGCAGCCTCAATTCTCTGAGTCACTTGGGCGTCATGTTCGGCGGTTACGCAGGAGCAACGCCTTCTAGAGCTGACGTAACTACTCCCGCCAACACCTCGACCGACGAGAAAACTTATGCGGGTGTCTTAAGGTTAGCTCTGCAACAGCAGGCGAACGACAGGACCTCAAACACAAGCTAAGAGTCGTCATCATACAACGATGTATTTAACACGAACCTGTGTTCCATAACACGCAATGCTTTTATCAGACGTCATCTCAAGTGGCTGGGGTTTAATACGTTGTTCCGCTAGCCGCTCATATTTGTTCTATCCTAATGAGTGATGGATAGAGAAAAAATTTTGCTTTTTCTAGTGAGGTGTAACCTACTACAGTATTTTGTCCTGTTTAGTGTTATATTTAGGTTTCATATGATGAAAGAACGTGTTGTAAGCGTTGTCAATAAATTAATCCTTTCTCACGTCTAATGATTGAATTTATCAATCGCAATTTTGCGTGAAATATTTTGAGAGTTTTTGCTAGTCCTAAAATCAATTTCCGAAGTAGAAAATAATCTTTGTGTGGAACAGGAATCGTTGCTTGTGTTTCTGAATTACAATTATTATTTCCACAAATTTTATGCGGTTCAGCACTCACTAACATTTGACTTATCATTCCGTTCTTTTCTTCAGCTTGATTCTTGTACTAGACCTAACTTATCTGCATCACTCAATTACGTATCTCAGTCATTCTTCTTTTGCAACCTTCTTTTTTGAAGGCTAGTTTTTATGAGTTGTGCGAAAAATACGATGCTGTACCAAATAAAATTGTGGTCCTTGGTATGTATTTTACGTGAATGCTTCTTTGGAGCTCACGCGGAACTGTGCACTTTCAATTCGCACCGCACGAATTTTATTCAATGGACAAACCTGCTATTTTTACTGTGGGTGAACTTGATAGATTTGATGGCGAGACATGTTAAATTTTCGATCTCGTTTGTTCGTTTAACATCTGTTATCCGATACGGTTGCTTAGATATCACGTCGTCGCGGTTACATCTTTTTCGTGACGTTGCTGGTATCTATTTGGTTGCTTCCCATACAAAAAATTGATTGCATTTTTTTCTATCAGGGCTTTAAAATCTCGATGTCACCTAAAAATTCTTTATCAATACACTAATAATATTATGGCTATATTATTCCTTAACGTGGCTTTGCTCTTTATTCTCGTGTATTCATCGTAATTTTTCGATGCTTCATATTTTAAAAATACAATGGAACTTTCGTTATTTGGACTCATTTCTGTCGTATACTTAACTTTCTTTGACAAAATGTCGGAAGTACGAATTTCATCCTTTCCCTCACATTTTTTTTTATATTGAAGCTCCCTAGTTCTTATTGATCAAAAATTTCTCTTAGATAATAAATAAAAAATGTTCTGAATGCATTTCTTCCAACTTTCCTAAGTTTTTCTGGCACGTCTGAATTGTTTATCGGCACTTGAAACTCTTGATTGTATCATAATGTCTTGTTCGTGATCAATATTCCTTGCATAGTTTCCGGAAAAAGACATCCTTTGTCGTCCTAAGTCGTCTGCTATTACCGTTTCAATGTTGGAAGCTATTTACGTAACTGATCGTCGGTAGTTTCTCTAGAGCATTCGTTTCCAGCAATACGCGTATCTTTCCATTTCTGTTATGCTGCATGAAGACTTGTCCGAGGCTGTCTGGTTCTCTTGACGTTGAGTCGAAACGTTCATTGCGTTTTTTTTTAACGGCAGGGTGATAATAGTTGCAATTTAGAGCCATCTATGGAAGTTTATGGAAGTCTTTCTATAGTTAACTAAATCTACTTTATTTAGTGTAACTTTGACTGCCTCTCGCTGTAACCTTCCTGGTTAAGCATATCCATTGCTTTGATTTGACGCGAATAATACCAACTACTGTTTACTGTGTGAATTTGACGCAACGCTTGAATGCTTTCAAGCCTATTTATTTCAAACTTGTTACCATGCTTCGGTTCATCAGTCTTTACGTCATTTATAATGCCCAATAATAATTTATTGCTAGAAGTTTGCCCACGTGTTGTGCACGTTGCTCTTATACTGTTCCGATCACAATTTTTTATAGATTACCTCAAAGCAATTGACGTTTTCGCTGCAGGTTCATCTTGGGGATTCCTGTAAAAATCGAGTTGAACATTGACACTTGTCGGCGATGTCAGATTTGTTCCTTCGTTCTGGTAGATGGTAGTTCAATCGATGTATTATACATTTTAATGCTAGCTTTAGACATCATAACCTTACATCACGAAAAAAATACAAAAATATTGCTATAAGATTAAAAGCGTTGTACTGTGTTAATGTTTTCTTAGATTTAGGTGGTACAAAAACGGACAAAATACAAAAAAGATAACTACTTTAGAATTAGTGTTTTTGCACGGAAAGTCCATGATCTCTGCCGCATATTTCGCTGTCCCTTGAAACTAACAATTTTTTTGTATCTCTATGGATCGTCATAAGAAGGACATTATTTGGTACTTTTTTTCAAAACGAGAATTCTTCTCCCAGTTTTCAAGCAGCTCTTGAACAAACTTTTTTTCTATCGCAATTTTTTAGGACCACAATACGTTTCTGCTCGAAGGCAAGGCGTTTACCGCGCGTCACCTTGAATTGCCATGCGTTACACTGAGAAAAATGAGCGATACTTGTACAAATAGCAATGCACTTTTTCTTCCCTGTGTAGGTCATCCTGGCCTGGTTAGGCTCGCCAAGAGAGTGCATCAGTGCTGCGATCGCTCTCTGCTCTTGTTGTGGGTTAGAAAGTGTGTCATTAGAACAATATGACCCACTCATTTTTCTAAGTGTAATTTTAGCAATCACATCTCAAAATTTACTAAATCTCTCAGAGCTAAATCGTCTCTCAAATTCCTTCACTTTCTCCTCTATTTTTTCCTGATATAATTTGTGAAGAAATCCGCAATATGGGCCGTCTTTGACAAGCGACAGTAGACGCTAAAATTATCGCCATCTGCAATATTAATATTATTTAAAAACATGAACCAATACTTTCATTGTTATTGGCTCGTCATCTGCAATTTGAACATTCTTTCTAAACATGAGCGAATGGATGATTCATCAAGACGAATTGAACATTTAGTCTGAACTAGGGTCAATATCTGGTTAATAATACCCTATGACGTGATGCCTGTGATATCGTTTCAGCAACTCGTCGAATTTTACCCTTCTATTTCCCACCAGTTTGATTGGACTCCGCAACTTGTTTTCTGTACATATAATTATTACGATTAATATCATTAGTGATGTGCACTGCAGTGTTAGTGCATTAGTTTTGTGTCACTGCAAAGTGTTTGTGTGTCTACTCTCTTTCACGCCACGTGCTGACTGACGTAACCATGATTGAATTAATACATGTATTAATTCAACCATGGACGTATCTACTTTCATACTTCGCAGCGAGTGAATTTCACGTGTGAAAATTCCTTGCTCAGTGTGAAGCGTACAGAAAATCTTCAGTTTACTTAGATAGTTTCTTCTAAAGTTTATGGTGATAATCATGTACAATGCAGAGCACTCGGCTGAGTTCCTGGACAGCGGGAGAAATTGTTAACCCTAAATTGTGGTGCAAGATTTCCACGTAAATTTATTCAGAATTTCTAGCAAGATGGTTTTTATTTGAGCTTATTTGTAACACTCTAAGATTGATTTATGCATGAACTTCCTTTCGATAATAACAACCGTGATATTTATGATGCAAATTTATTTACTCGTTTGATATTTTTTGATCAGTTTTTATGTCATGCGACAATTGCGATCTGCGTTCAAGTCTATTGTAAAGGCTATGTCTGTTTGTCCTGACGGCTATGTTCTTTAGTATGAGATTTACAATATCATCATTTATGATCATTATTCAGGTCAAGCCGATGCTTAAGCGCAATTAGTCGAGTTCAATTAGCTCATGTTTTTCACATCCTCTATATTCCTCTTAGTGCATCCATTATTGATTCAATTACTAATGCCGTAATTATTTCTTAACAAAATTATTCAATCCGGCCCATACAATTAAAATGAATTAATTTTGGTGAATTTCCGGTTAAAATCTCAGCTGTTTGTTTATGGGGATTTCTGCGGATGATTGCAACTCTGGTGTGATCCCTTCAGTACAACTCGCTGAAGTTGCGATGTGAGAGCTCGTTATATTCGGCACGCAAATAATATTTCAGCATTGTCGATGGACAGGCATTACTCTTAACAAACATTTAATAAATGGTACACTGGACACCACGTTTCAATATTTTTTGATAACATTACTCGCACGTTATGTGTTTTGCGGTAGCATTATAATATCTTCGATCCATGTAGCAAGATATTATTGGCAGGGTCCTAAATATCTAAATTTGCTGCAATGCAAATTGCGGCCTAGGTACGCGTAGAGGCAAATTTCTCATCGGTTATTGGTAGGTTAAGCTTCAAAAGCCGTCAGTGATTGGCCGATAAGAGTTACAGATACTGCGGCTCCTGTAAGTATAATACAAGGTAATGATATTAATTAGGCTATAGACGCCTAATGGTTCAATACCAGAATAAAATCACATTATTCTATCAGTTCTATTAGACCGTCAAGAACATAACTACACGTTACACTCATTGGTCATACATCAAAAGAATTGGAGAACAATTAGTTAATGGTTGGCCAGATTTTGAGAACTCTTCGCTCCTACATGGAAAAAGATTTATATAATTAGCATAGGTATATACTCCACAGTAAAATGCATCCTCTCGAAAACTAAATGTTTTTTGCAACAGAATTAGAAGCTTCCAAATTCGCATTCGACTGTGGCAGGAGTTTGACGCGGGAAACAAATTTCAGTAAATGGGAGGGAGTCAACTGAAGCGTTGTAAAATATCAAGGAAATGCCGAGAAGATTAGCAAAAATTGAGAGCAAAATACAAGTCACCCATCATCCTCAACATAATGAATGAAAGAAAACGAATACAGTGACCTGAAAAGTATCGCAAATACCCAAGCAATGATGTTAACCCTTACTTTTACTGAACATTTTACCACGTCAGGCTTCAAGTTATTGTCAGAAATATTCACAGAAAACCAACTTCGCGCAACAAATTCAACAATTCACGAGGAACAAACTACAAAATTTGCGTGATGAATCATAGAACCTCTAGTTTAGCAACGAATATTACAGTCAGGTTAATTTGTGCAGGATTATTTACACTAGAAAAATGCCATTTTACTGTCATTAAAAGGCAAGCATTAAAAATATTCATCTAATTTTTCTCAATGAACACATTTAATGTTTACAATTTTTACATAAATCTTAATCAACTATAAAATTTTTGAAAATTCGCCCGTTAGTACATACACATAAACAACGAACTTGTCTTGCATAGTAATTTTCATTTCAAATAACGATTTCCTATTATATAATTACAACAGAAATAACGTTCTTGTACAATAATCAGATCATTCCTGAACTCGAACAACGACACGACGTCAAAGTTTATAACTAACGCAGTGATTTAAAGTTGAGGCTTAGTTATTAATCAATGCATTCAAATCAAAAAACAACAATTAAATAAACGAAGAAAAATATGCCATCGACTAATATTCAATTTTTATTTCTAAAATGGAATCAATTTTGCTTTAGTGGAGGAACGCATTGAAATGAGTCAATCAAATGAGCATTAAATGCACAAATAATATACATTTCATAGAGGTCAGTAATACACATGGAAAAAAAGATACCTACAGAAATTAACTTCGAGTTGAGAAACATAGACCAGAAGAATTATATCTCAAATAAATAATTAAAAATACGTTAGTACAGAACACGGGTAGGCACATGTAACTCAAAAACGCTTTAAAATAATACTAACAAGATGATACTAGCATCAACTATAACATGGGAGCTAACTGCGAGGAACGTCAGGGCAAAAACAAGAGCATTTTCTTCCATCTGCGTAAAGCTTACATACATCAAATTTACCCAAAGCCAGCATGCAACAAAATTAATTAAGAGTCCAGAACAACAGATGCACGCCATTGTTCCTCACATAATGGCATGCTTCTACCTCTTCGAACCGCACCACCAATCATCGGGTTTGTTTACACCTTGTATCTTCGTACTACCCATGGTAAAGTCTTACCCTATACAACACCAATCATTGAGTTAGTCAACATATTCCGTTGATGAACCCGCCTCGCCAACTAAAATTAAATATCCACTCATCATCCACAGCAGCGGCATATATTTGCACGGGATGCTAGCGAATAATTTTGCTTTCACGAAAGAGTTAACATATCAGAAAGGACATGCTACAAGATTACAAATTAAGGAATTAGGAACATGAACATTAGATAATACACCGATGACTCAAGGAAACATTACATTAAATTCGAGACTCGAGAGTTCTATAGAAGTCAGTCAGTTGTGAGTGTCAATTCTAAATGCAGATGAAAACAAGAAGTTATTAAAATAGGTTTGTGGAAATAAGTCTGAGCAGGTAAAGGTCTTCCAAGTTTTGATGAGCTCACCAAAACTTAAGTTCTGATAAATAACTCTGAAACAGCTGATCTGCATTAACATGCCTTACGTTTTGGAAAAATCATATAGCATGAAAGAATTAATTGAGAATGTGGCTAACGACCTAATATTCAAACATCGTCAACATTTTATTAACACGTTTTTCTTAGCTTAGCTTCGCGTTTGTTTGTTTGTTTGTTTGTTTGTTTGTTTGTTTGTTTGTTTGTTGTTAACATTGACAACGAAAATTAGTCCACTTCTGATTGTTCTAGAGATCTGAAATTCGGCATGCAGGCTATTTTCGCCTAACAATTTCAGATACAATCATAAAAACTAGTAATTAGAGACCGAAATTAGTTTAATTGAGTATAGTATATATATAGTATATATATAGTATGACGTGCGGGCACTCACGTTATAGACGAGCAGGCGCTGACGCTGCGCATCGTGGATACGTACGTCAAGTCATACTTAATCAAGTCTTAATCGTTCTTGTGGACTAAAAAGTAGAAAATAAAATACTTAAAAAAAACTTTTTTAAAAAACCACGTTTTTCGTGTGGACTAAAAAGTAGAAAATAAATTATGGTTCGCCCCAAAAAAACGTGAGTCGGGCTGTACGTTCACCATCAAATTTCCAAAATTTAAGTGTTGTGTGCTTTTCGCTTTAATCATAAATCTGCCCGACACACGTTTTTTTGGGGCGAACCATAATTTATTTTCTACTTTTTAGTCCACACGAAAAACGTGGTTTTTTAAAAAAGTTTTTTTTAAGTATTTTATTTTTAGAATGGAGATGCAAACGTTGAATTTCATACCCAGGTTCATGTATCGCCAACTACGCAATCACTGGTGTGTGATTCAAATACTAAATTCTTACACGAGTTTAAAAATAAGAAGAAATGCGTTGTAATATTGTTCAAAGAAAAAAATAACTCATTTGCATAGAATTAGTAAAGTATTTCTTCCACCGTCAGTGGCCATTATAATTTTCATCGTATGACTTAATTTATAAAAATTATTTATAACGAAAAAAATATATATAATGAACCTATGAAATATTCTTCGTTCAAAGAGATTTACGAATGGGAGCCTTTCTCTTCTTTTTATTTTGAGTCACTCGTGGAGCTGCGCTTGTGAGAGAAACTGTGACGGCAGCGGTGTCACTAGGGGAAGAAGGAGGCGGTGTCTCAGATGAAGTTGGCACCAGAGCTGGCATAGGAGTTGGTAAAGGATCAGATCTTGCAATTCCAAGCCATGGAAGAGATGTAACTTCAGAAGCAGCCTCAGTTTCATGGTAAGCGCTCACGTCGTTTTCGCTGCCGCTATTACCGCCACTCTTCAGTCTCAATTTCTTGCGAACTAGTTTGATACCTGAATTGAGATCTGGTGAGCTTTGAGTGCAAAAACCTAAGCTACCTTTAGTTTGTCCTCCAGTGCCTCCGGTGTTGTTGCTACTGCCGGCTTTGCTACAGCTTGCCACAGAAATTGCGGACGGTAGAACATCCAGACTTTTAGCAGCAATACCCTGAGATAAAGATCGAGTTACTTTGGTTCTAATCTTGCTAGGAAGTTTAAGAGTTTTGGCAGTGGTTCCAGCTCGCGAGTCGTCACCTGTGCTCCCTTGGAACACGCATGATAATGGCGATCTCGGTGACAAACAAGGGCTGACATTCGGGCTGTTAACTTCTTCATGATGACACAACTCCTCGACTTCTTTATTCTCTGGAGAAGAAAGAAGGGACTGACCACAACCTGTCTTGAGCTTCTTGAAGCTTCCACCAACAACCCTGCTGCGTTCCCTGCGAATTTTCTCGACTTTTTTTATTAATTTAGGACTGCCGGGGACATCAGTAATGGAAAGATGAACGTCCAAATTAGGGGTGAGGCAGACACTGGAGGTAAGGCTGTGCTTTGCTCGAACTGGCAATTGTTTTTTGCCACTCTTGGAGCTAGAACAGGCCTCGTCTATGTCCGTAAACATTAGAGCTTTGGAAACCACTTTCTTAGGGGAAACGGCCTTTAATTTGTGTGTTTTGATTTTAGGCGAGCTTACTAAACCATACTTGGGAGCTGAACGCACTGAGGAACAACCAGCAACCGGTTCCCTATTCTCAGCATCCACAGCAGTCCATGAAAGGTGACGCATACGATTCTGACTTTTGCTGCGAAGAACTTTTGGCGACAGCTTAGGCGACGACGAGGGGGACAAGCCGTCCCCGACCTTGCTCGCTGCTCGTCCCTTGAGAGGGCGGCTGCGGGGGGCAGAAGACTGAGGCGTGATGTTGGTGCTTCGTCCTGGAGACTTGGCGACCCGACAAAGGGCCTTTCGTGACGATAACGGAGACTGTACCACCGATGCAACAGCTGTTGTGTGCATTGACGATGACGGTGAAGTAAGAAAGTTGCGGAGCCACATTTTGACTCCATCCAAGCTGCCATACTGAGACGCAGGCAGACGTGAGAGGGGATTGACAACAGAGCTAAACTCATTCGAACTTATAACAGACGGCGTCTTAATCTTAGATGGTCGTGAATTATCCATGGGTGTGAATTCAATAGTAGAAGTGGTCTCATTGGAGCAGTTGGTAATTTTGTCTGAAGAGTTGTTACTAGTTTGACCTCCAACTTGAGGCGATGCAGTAAGAACTTGTTTCGCAGGGCTTGATGTTTTGATGCTCGCAAGAGGCGCATCAAAGCCCTTGAAACATGAAGCGGATGGCGTGGTCGCAGCGCTGTCCAAAATGCTCACTGCTAATTCCCGACCGCACTGCAAACAATACATTTTTATTTAACAACCCGTTGTTCAAAAACAAAATATTTCGAGACAATCATGTAATAATGTCAATAAAAACCCAAAAAGTAGGTAGAATTCTAAATTAGGCAATAGTTCTACAGTACGTCATTTACATAAATTCTAAAGTTAACAGAACTAATGAATCCTAAATGACTTATTTTTCTATTTTTAGCTTCAGCTTACTAAGAAACGTAATCTAAACTATGGTTGCGTCCTAATTGACCAAAAGAATCAACCCAATATCGGTGGTTGGCAACTGATCGAATTATCAGTGAGTTTCATGTAATGTGTCATCATGGGTATTCATACAAATTTTTACAATTAATCCTACTGATTGAATCTAACTTTTGCTAATTTTGATTCGATTATCTTTTGAATGCTTCCACACATAACAACGTTAGTAAATAGTTCATGATAAAGCTTGTCGCATGCAAGCTTCATTCACAAAAATTTTGAAAATACAATCTACCCGAGAGATTGTGTTAAATTTAAATTCATGATCATTTGTGAATAATTACGCACATCCTAACGTTTGAAGTTATTTAATAAACTGGAAACTTCTAATTTGTATTGTTGATTTACAGTAACACATCAAATTTTTGTACACACATTACGACAATTTGACAGTAATTCATTCTGATCAGGAAAAATATATTGTTATGCGCGATAATCCATGAAAAATATAAGTACTTATGTTATCAGTCTGCTTATATTGCAAGTTCACAAGGAATTTAAAAGCAAAGAAAACGCCAAGCAAATTCACCATATCGATATTGAAAACATATCGGAGTCCAGCTCCATCATCAGTTCTACAAACTAAAAATGAATACAATCATTTTATAAGTCAAATTCTAAGACAGACATAAAAACTAAAACAAACGTTTTCAATACCGATATGGTGAATTTGCTTGGCGTTTTCTTTGCTTTTAAATACCTTATGAAAAATATTTTGATGTGCGCGACTATCCATGAAATTTATCTTGATATGAACGACAAACCCACCTCTTCAAAGATGGCAGGCGTATACTTGGGGGGCGTCGAGACATGGGACTGAGCGACGAGGCCGTGTTTGGGACTTTTCTTGTCCCTACTGACGGCCGATGATGAGGCTGACGATGAAGAAGAAGTGGAGGCTGAGGAGGCAGTGGAGGTGGAGTTGTTCAGAGGTGGAGGTGGAGCATAACAGCGGCCTGTGTTATAGTTACATTCAAGTGTGTAGGAGCGGAGCAGCCCTGTGAGCCGCATCACCGCCACGCGGCCAGAGCCTTCTTTGCTTAGACCGTTGCGCCGGTCCCTGTAGAGAGGTATAAACTAGGGTATAGTTTAACGTAAAAACTAGGGTATAAACTGCAGTTAAATGTAAGGTACCATATAGTTCAAGGTATAAACTAGGGTTTAAACTGAAGTACAAAGTAAGGTATAGTTTAAGGTATAAACTAGGGTATAATATGCAGTAAAAAGTAAGGTACATATAGTTTCAGGTATAAACAATGGTATAAACTGCAGTAAAAAGTAAGGTATTATTTAAGGTATAAACTAGGGTATAAACTGCAGTAAAAAGTAAGGTACACATAGTTTCCGGTATAAACTATGGTATAAACTGCAGTACAAAGAAGGGAATAATTTCAGGTATAAACTAGGATTTAATTTATGGTAAATATTAGAGTAACAAGAAAATATGGTATAATCATATAATTAATATACATGAATAATTATGTAGGGGTGAGTATTAAAAAATCAGAGCAGCAATCAGGGTTGTGAGAAGGGTTGAACTAATAAACAGAAATATTAAATCAATACTGTTGCACTGATTTATATCATTTATCATTTGTTGTCGGTATCTACGGTGGAAAACAGGATTAAGTAATAATGCACAAAGCAATGCAGAAATAAACAGCAGACAGACAAACATTAAACAAATTATTAGCAAGGTTAATGGCATATTCGTAATGAGATTTAATGAAAGAAAATGGCCGCCTTTGTTTACTGAATTTAAATGCGCTCATTTGCCCTGACGAAAAAATAGCTTCAATAATAATTATTATTTATTTAAATGAAGGCATTACGCCTGATCCTATGCGGCCCTTTGAAGATATCCTCGAGAGTCATTACATAAATTTTCCACACAGGAAACAGAATCAAGGCGCTCACTTGACGCTCATATTTTTCTCGGTGAAATTGCAGGCATTGAAATCGAAATTGCCGCAGTTGATGGCCAGGAGCTTAGCGAGTAGCAGGTTGTCCACCATCGCTCGTACGTCAGGGAACCAATTGCCGTACAGGAAAATGCCTGCGAAATAGAAAAGAGTTGAATTATCGAGCGTAAAGATAGCATTATTATAAGCCTGAATTCTCGCGCGTAAAGAAAGTTAGAGTGCGAGAGCAATTGGTAGATTAAAAGCATTCAAAAGAAGCATGAAATTCTTTTGAAAACCATTGCAAGGAAAAGTAAATTAATCGTTCCGTAATCATGTACTAATATTAAATAAAAGCATTTTTTAATTAGCATAGTTTATCATTGAAACACTTGAGTTGCACTTTAAACATATTCATTTAGAAAAATGCTAGCATTTCTGCCAATTAAATAGCAAAATTAAAAGACAATTTTGTACCTACTGCATTTAAATATTTATATTTTGAAGAAAAATGCGCAATCATATCTGCAGCTACAACAGTATCATTCAAAGAATATCTTGCATTGTATTTAAACATTTATATTTCGAACAAAATCAAACACTCTTCTCGGCTAAAAAATTTCAGTAAAATAGCATGTTATCCTCATTTTAAACATTTTGACCGCAAAATTACCTCTTTTTGAAGCATGACCGTGCATGTCAACGTACATATGCAATCCACTCTCACTGCTCTTGGTGGAATCGACAGCATACGAGCGAGGAGCACACGCGGCTCGTCGGTCTAGAGATGGAGGCTGCAAAGACGCGCCTTCTCTACCAGGCTCACCAACTTCTGCTTCACTTTCACTGCTGCTATTTACAGCTGCAGGGCTCGGTACAGCTGCAGGGCTAATTACAGCAGCTGCATCAGTGGCAGGTACACGGAAAAAGTTCGAAGACGGGGAGAAGCGAAACCCGATCTTGGATTCATTCAAACAAGCTGGGCGCGATGGCGGAGTGAAATCGGTAGCGCTGAGTGAAGCGTTTGACGAATTGGATGAAAAGTCAGGCTTACTTATGGGAGTAGAAAAGGATCCCGCGGGTAGCGTGTGGGGTAGGTTTGCAGGTACAAATGGAGGGTGGGGCGAGGAAGACTCTTGACTTGAGTCAACGACTGGAATATGGGACTGGTGTTGAGGTGACGATGACAAATTTCTCAGTTTTTCTTCTGGAGAGCACGTCGAGGAGTGCAATTTAAGATTATGTTCAGTAAGAGGAGGTAGGGAATGAGCTGTGCTTCTGGACCTTGTCGTTGGGCCAACAAAATGAGCCGGACGTGCTATTCTCGTCGGGCGGTCGAATTCAGAGTCACGTTTAGCAAAGGAGGAGTAAGAGTCGGGGTCAGACGCCGACGCTGCGAGCGCCCCAAACATGCTTGTTACGCCAGTTTCTGCTTCACTCAAACCAGAAATGTTGGAACAGTCGTCATGCAAGTCCGGTAAGTCAAGACCTCTAAAAAACATTGAACTGCTCTGTAAGGTGCTGTCCACGCTTTGATTGCTGCTAATGTCCCATCCGGACGCTGATGGCTCATCTAGATCCATGGACACATTAGCTCTTATGATGTTACTCTTACTCTCATGCTGAGCATTCGCGTCACTGAAGCTATGGCAAGTGTCTTCATCCATTACAGGTGGCTGAGATACTACAGAGGGACAAGAGTGACAAGAGCCAGAGTGATAGTATAGCAAGAGGGAACGAGCGGCTTCGATGGTAGGATGAAGTTTGACGCTGGGGTTACAGTATACGCGATTCAAATTGACACCATATTGGTCGGTGCGATAGTGGCCTCGAACAACGCCATCAGGGTTCAGCATCGGGACGAGTTTAAAGACGTACAAGTCCCGTAATTTGCTCGCCCGAGCATCGTCTGACAAAATAAAATCTAAGAAACCGTTGAAAACAAAACTAGATGGGGTCTCTCCCGGATGAACACGTGCTGAGATGAAAATATATTTCTTATTTTTGAACTTGAACGGACGCGATTGAGAGCCATCTGGGAAAAGATGCGGTAGTCTGTCTTCCCTGGCATTTGTTATACCTGAGTATGATGACACTGTAATGAGATCGAGTCTTTTAGAGTCCAATGACTTCACAACGAGCTCTCTTACATAATAAACACTATCAACTTTAATTATGACTTGAGTATTTGTGCTTGGTGAACTGAGCAATGCCGTTTTTGATCCAGGATTTGGGGTTGAATCTTTAGATTTGAGATCACTTGAAACCAGTACTTCATCTGGATTGTCATTTTGAACTGTTCCTTGTATGAATAATTCTTCCTGTGCAAAATTAACTTTTTTTGATTCAATATCAGATGGATGACGAACCCTAGAAAACACTTCATCGATGGCTTCAAGGCGCTGTTGCAACTGAGTGTATGAATAAGGGAAGGTGAAGGCATAGTATGTGACCAATTCTGTGTCTGCGGGAGTTGTGTGAATCCAGCTCAAAATAGCATTTCCATCAGCACTCTGGGAAAAAAATGATATGTTGAATTAAATTATATCATATTTATTACCTATATAACAACTGCATTAAATCAATTCAGAATAAAATAATACCTGATAAACTTAAAAATCAAATTTGCATTTCTCTAAATTATTCAATACTGATTAACACCAACTTAAATGAAAGGTCCTAAATTTAACAAAACATCTATCCTAAATTTAACAAACAGGAATAATAATAATAGCTTACCCAGCAATGAACAGACGAGGAGCAGAGAGTCCATTGATGCAAGGCATGAACAGGCACACCAGGCTTTACCTGCATCTTGACAGGCTTCATGCCCTGGGAGTAAAGCTTCACTTGTTTGTTCATGTTCATGATACGCAGCCTGGCTCGTGCCCCAGCCACTCCTCCTGGCAAGCATAGTAAAAAATCAGGTGCCATAAAACATGCAGAACTTCATGCCATACATCTAATATATTATGAGAAGAGGCTGGTACTGATACATGAATGTACAGGACAATCTCATAGGAAACATTGGCTTGAATCATGACAGAGAAAACTAGTCAAATAGAGAATAAAGGAAATAAGCTAATACAAGGAAAGGGTAATGCAGAAGATAATGGTTAAACTTAAACCATAGCTTTAATTTTAGTCACAGATCTGACCTGAGATGGAGAAGAAGAACCAAGTTCTGTTTGTGTTCTCATAGGCAGTATTGGCGCAGTCAGGAGCTGTGTAAAGCTGGAACTCATGATCAGGCTTGCCATTCTGATGTATCTGGAGAGGAGGGATGGCAGCATTTCCATGTCCTCGGCCAACCACAGCAACTGACTGCGCTTTTGAAGATAAATTTTTGTTTCCCACAGGACAAGAATCTTGACTAGTCAACTGTTTTAATCCTTTTCTCAAACTTCTTGGTGTGGGCGATGATCCTCTAGTCAAACATCCTCTGCTTGACTGCAGTTGTGATGAAGGAGATGATGAAGAAGGTGAATGGTGAGAGAAGCTTGTATTAAAGCTGGTGCGAGTCTCAGGCCTGGTGTTGCGTAAATGGCAGGAGGAACACAGGCTGTTTGGTTGACACCCATCTTGGAATAAAAAAATATGTGGACCTTATTAGAGTGCAAATGATGATGTTGCTGTTATATGTGAACTTCAAATTTTTATTGCAAGTTGAAAAGTTTGTCAAACTCTATTGATACAGGTACTTAGAATAAAAATTTTCAATTTATATCAGCATGTAATAAAACTACTGAAACATTATGAAATATATTTTATAAATAATTAAATTCCTAGATTAACTCTAAGTGCATATAAATGAATATATTTACCTGTAACAGGAACCTCTGCAACACTAGCAAGGTTGGCACACTCAAAATTAGCAGCAAAAATGTACTGGCCACAGTGAAACATTGCAAGCAAATGCTGGATCAAAATATTAATTATTTCATAGACATGAAACTCTTTCTTTTGAGTTTAGCAGGAAGACTAGTTAAATGCATATTAGGTCATGCCACATTTTTATAATATGCATCCAAATATATAATCTGAAAAATAAAAACATAGATAAAATGGTACACATACACAAAATGTAACCCATATATACAAACAATCAGATCTATAATTTTTCCTAGTTCATGGATGTGGTATAATGGGTATATATATATAATTTGAAATGAAAGAAAATCTATGTTTGGAATTAGTCATTAATAGGGTAAACTGGAATATCTAACAAATCACTAAGGAAAATTTCTTATTCAAAAATTCTAAATGAAAATTATTGTTAATATTGAGAGTTTTGATAACACTGCCAAGCCAAATTAGGCACAGCCTAATTTTCATTCTTGGGCAGAAGCCACCCCTGATTGGAATTGCCTGTGAATCTGGCACAATTTTATCTGTTAAGATAAAATTGTGTTATAACTTCTTAAGATGAAACATTTCATAAACAAGTTTAGGCTCATTTTATAGCTCTTTGCGAGGGCTATCGAATGGCATCTTCAAAAAAATTCCATATGCTATTCGTAAGGTGCCAGACGCAAAAAAAAGAGTACACTGGGAATAAAACTTCATTTTAAAATATTTGAAGCATGCAGAGCATACTCATCCATTACTAACAGTACTCTGAAGTCCTCCTCTTTCATTGTAGACAATGTAGAGGTAGAATAAATGACATTTTCTGTGACTTTTACTAGTTTTTCCTTCATTGATAATTGATATGATATTACCATAAACATTAATTACCCTCAACTGGGGTGACTTTGGCTGTGTTTTTGATTCATGCTGGGGTCGTAAACGTCGGGGTCGTAAACGTCGGGGTCGTAAACGTCGGGGTTGTAAACGTCGGGGTCGTAAACGTCGGAGTCATAAACGCCGGGGTCATAAACGCCAGGGTTGTAAACCAGGTCATAAACGCCTGAGTGACTTTGGCCACTGTTTATGACCGTTTATTACCCCACTATGGCCATCATTATGAACAGGGCTGAATCACCCAGTTGACAGTACCATATTATTGATGGGATATTACTGTATTATTGATGCCATATTATGGTATCCATGAACATGCCATTGAGCATTTACAACAACCTTGTCCACTGCAAGCTTCATATCAGCAGCATCATAGCATTTTTTCTGTATCTGTAAGCTTACAGGACAGCTTGTAATTTGTGAGACAATTAGTGAACTTCTTTTTTCACTCAGCGAGGTAAATGTAATCAATATTCTTTGTTTTTAATCAATTTTTTTCTTAACTGGAGCCTTTGCTAACTGAGGTTCTACTGTAAATCTGCTTTCCGGGGTGTCCCGAATAGCCCCGGGGGGGTGTCCCGAGTAGCCCCGCCGTGCGGAAATGGCCGCCATTTTTTTTTTGTAATGGCAAAATCTGTCAATTACGTTTTCAAGCCGACACCTGGGTGCAACTTTTATGTAAGTAAAATTTTTTAATACGGCAAATATTTTTTTTGCTACAGACCTTAGCAGAAGTAACTTTTCAAAATAGCGTTTTTCACCATTTTTTTCAGGAATTTTTCAAAGCTAGTAAATGTCGTATTTTTCGACTTCCTTTATACTAAATAGATAGGAAAAATGTTGTTGTTTAGGCCACTATATTTAGTTTAGCAATATTCCAATTAGTTTCGCTACTATGACTGTTTTACGACGTGTCAGAGGTGCGTCCCAAGTTGCCCCGCCAGTCCCGAGTTGCCCTGGTTGACGGTAGTCTTTTCCCAATAACTTAGGTGAAAAAGTAAGGAAAACTGTCTACTTATAATGGCCATTTTTACAAATCATTTGTGAAACTATTGTTTTTACCTGCAATTCTAAGAAACTTGTGCCTGACATTACAAATTCGTATGAAAATAACTGCTGGAAGTTTTGATCATCTTAGGAAAACAATTTGGAATATCATGTAGAATTTTCCTAAAATTGCAGACAAAAACTATTGTTTCACAGTTGATTTTTAGAAATTGCAGGTAAAAATAGTTTTTTTCTCATTTTTTACTGAAAAAATTTGGAAAAGGTCATAGGAATGGGTGAATTTGGCCAGATTTACAGGCATTTTCATCAATTTATTGGTGGCCTCTCACCAATTTTCCAATTTGGATACAAAAGGAGTGGAACTTGCGGAAAGTCAACAAAAAAATATCGCTGGCAACTATGCCAACTGCTGAGTAATGTGTGTATCAGTGTATGCTGACTATGCTCCAATTGTTCCAACCAAATTGGATACTTTGAAAGCTGCCTGCCGCCCATGAATTGGTCAAAACAGCTATGAATCTGGCTCTGGCCAATTTCACCCTTTCCTATGGCTTTATGTCTTTTTCAGTGAAAATTAATAAAAATTGCCTATTTTTTATAAATGAATCTGAAGAAGGGCGATAAAAATGTTCTCCTTAGCCAGTAGCCACTATGCCTATTTTTACCCTTGAGCTTGACTTTTGAAAATCACCAGTGAAAGAATAACTTTTGTCCGCAATTTTCAGAAACTTCTGCCCTATATTTCAAAATAAATTCTTATGGAAATTTCCAAATTTCTTCAGTAAAAATAAAAAAATAATATATCTTACTAACAATTTTTTGAAATTGCCATAAAATAGTTAGTCTTTATCCAGAATTTTTTAAAAATTTGCTTAAGATTCCTTTTGTTATTCCAGATTGAAAATGAAAAGTGATGTCAGCATCAGTTAGTTAATAGGTACACTGAGTAGATATGGAAAAATCTATGGCAATTCTTTTCAATTATCTTGCATAATTAGGCAGGCCCGCCTATGTATAGCCTAGCTATTTTTTGTACCTATTGTCAGTACCGTAAAATGGGGTAACTTAGACCGGCGGGGTAACAAAGACCACTTTTCGTTTTTTTAACAAAAACCCCCACAACTCAAAAACTATTTGACATAGAAAAATTTTGTCAATGGGCATCAAAGGCCTAATACTGAGGCTACATAACACAAAACTATGAGAGGCAGGAGCCAGCAATTTATGGTGAGTGAAGCTAGAGTATAGACCTGTATTTAGCATGTTTCAATTCAAGTTTAATTTAGCTAGTAAAAAAATGGCATCATTTATAAAAAAGAAAGTGGTCTAAGTTACCCCATTTTAGGGTATTGTGATTATGGATTGTGGATGGCATCCATTTCAAATAAAAAAAATTGTAGCTAGGCCCTAAATTGAACAACAACAAGTAGCACAATTCAAAAACTAGGGATTAAAGTTAAAGCACACCAATATTACCATACCAATGATACCATTGTACTGTCAGGGGTCTCAGGAGTCAGGACTGATAGGCCTATATTACCTATATAAAATATTTTGGTTGTGTAATTACTAAATAGTAAATTAGACTCTAGAGCTACCTATAATTTTATTCAAAAACAAAAATGAAGCAAATTACTACTAATCTTTATTGGCTAATAGAATTCGTAGATCAAGAAACTGAAGAAAGCAGTCAAAAAAATAATATAGGGCCTAGGTAACAGCCTAATTCACTATTTCCGCACTAAAAATTAGGAATCAAGATACAAGTTCTAAATAAAATAAATATCGACCAAAATGTTTTCATTCTTATTATTCTATAATATAAGGTAACTTTAAACTTCAGTTTAAGGTTTCTATGCGAGGTGTACAATGCTAACTTAGAGATGCTTCCATGACCTTCTACCATCAATGACATTTCTACACTGAGACATTAATTTACAGAAATAACTGAATACTAACAAGTGAAAACAAACGGAATGCGGGAGAATCCCCACGCCGACAAATAATCATTGCTCATTTTGATAGAACATTTCATAATATATCTTAAATTACCATAATTATAATAAACTATGAGTTACTTTGAATTAATTTTCTTATTCAATACTTTTTCACGATTATAACATAGACTGTCATGAAATAGGCCCCGAATCGCATGGTATAATTTATGTACTATGTAGAGAGATGGAAAATATGAACGAATGTCCTTAGTTTTTGCCGATTGTCATAAAATTTATAATATCGACATTACAATTCAGAATGAAAGATAAAAGTCGGAATGATGCATATCAAGAGAAGCACAAAGGCATTTTTGTGACCTCGGGCGAAATCGCGAAAATTCACACGGGCTCGACATCACCTTTAGGTGGTCAGGAATCTATATACCAAGTTTCATTGAAATCGGTCCAATACTTTGGAAGATATTCCATGTACGATGAATTTCTTGAATCACGGCCGTGAGACAGGCCGCGTTTTTGTCCAGGAGGTATTTTTGTGGTTCTCGCAGGAATTATTTATCACGGTGCAACTGATTGCCACCGATTATAAAATACGAAATCCTCGTTGCAAGTGCAAACCATACACACGAAGCAATGCTCGAAATGCGGTTAAAATAGGATTAATGGCGAAACCTGAAACTATTGTCTACGTATCAAGAACCATGGGTGTGAGCTAATTGGGCAAATGAGGAGGAAGGAAAAAGTACTACGTTCTTCCATTATTTACTTGCAAAATAAAATACACTGATACTTCAATGTTGATAAACATGCCAATTAATCCGCTATGTAAAGCAGCAGGAACCATGAATTCAGAAATTATTGCGCATCTAATCAAGTCAAGGATCGAAAGACTTCATTTAATAAGGCATATTTATGCAAATTTGTGTTCGGACCAGAGATGGTCATTATTAACAATTTTATTGCTTGCAGGTAAGCAAAGTTTGATCTCCCAACGCTAGCAAGATATTTCGTTTGACCTATTGAAACATAAAACAAACAAAAAATTGTTTGTAAAAAGCCTTCTCTAGTTTTCAATCAAACTTGCATAAAGGATTTCTGCCTAACTATACCAATAACGTACACTTGTACGCATGTGAACCATAGAAGGGAAATCCTCTTAAATAATCGTGTGAAATAATATCCAGATGTCAGTTTAACCGTACACTGCGTGGAAGTTTAAATAATAAATCAGCAACGAAGATTCACATAATAAAGAGCGTGTTCATTAGTTTCACATGGTCCATATTAGGGAGCTAATAAAATACACATCAAAACATGAGGTTTATCTTAGAAATGAAGTATGTTGCCATTTTCAAGCACAATTAAAAATATTGGTAAAATAGTCAATCATGTTTAAAATTTAACTAGGATCGACAATATGAGACAGGCGTATAAACCCATGATAAGATGGGGAAAATCTCACTCGTTACGAAGACAGATTAAAGAATGCGCTAGTCCTGGAAAAGAAAAAAAAAAACACAAACATCTGCAGATTGAGAGAAAGATGTAAACGAAATTGAACCAAAGTCAGCGTTGGTTTGATTCAGTGGTAAAGCGCGGCGACTTTATAGTTACAGGCTGCGGGTTCAAATCCACGCAAACTGTGAACATTCTGTACTGTCGCTTGTGTGCAGCGCTAGCCGTCGAGGACGTAAGGTTGTAAATGGATTGAAAGATAAGATCACTTGATTATAAAGACTATAATTAGCTTATCGCCATCCTGAAAAATTTATAACTAAAAGTCGCCGTTGAAATGGCAGTTCCAGTTTCTGTGAAAGGATTAGCTACGCAGTCTTCATTGAATTGAACGTTTCATTTAGATTACATTCTAACTAAATTGTGCTGAAATAACAACTCTACTCTTTCATTGCACAAGCAATGGAATGTGTTCACAAATTGGATCAAGGTTATTAAAAATACTTATTTCTATCTCTCCGTACGTCTGTATAGAGAACCAAAATAAATCATAATCCTATCATTAGTTATTGGCACAGTGAATTGGAGAAAAATCCTAAGAAGTTACTAAATAAGTGCTTTAAATTATGTTCGAAATGTCGCAGTAATTAATTGTACAGAAATTAATTCTAAGCGATACATAGCTGTTACAAACTGCTGAATTCAGACGAGTGTAAGTATGAGAAGTTCCCGAAGACAGAAAATATATAAAAACTAGACAATTCAAGGTCAATACATTCAGATAATTTTAAGTATCGTCAATCGTAATTAAAAGGGCAATAAAATAGGTGCTTCAAATAATGATCGAGAATGGCGAAGTAAATAATTATTCGAGAAGAATATAAGTAGCGAGTATGAGAAGCCGTATAAGAAAGAAAATTAAGAGTGCGATTGTTCGAGGGTACGCTAATCAAATATTCTCAAATGGAAATCCAGGATCAGCCTCCAAATTTCATGCTGAAAATCGACTAAGGGCCGATACATAAGAGGCACCATAGAGTCATCAGTTTGATAATGTCTCCGCGATGATTGGGTACAACTTAATTTCCCACATTTTAATTTAAAAAAATGGAGTGAAATACAAACCCTTAAAATTTATATACTAAACTTACTTTCCAATGATTAATAATCATAATTTTGTCATCAATTAAATCCATTAATTGACGTCATCAAAATATGAACTGACAGACACAGAAGAGATGGGATAAAATAGAATTATAGATTAAGGGCTAAAATTCAAGTCATAGTGCCTTATGCGTTGTTAAATAACACTGCTTGCAACATGCTTATTGATAATTAAAACAACTCGTTTGTATGTAACCAAAATACATGATACCTCATCAACAAGCTCTTTCAACTTCGTTAAGTACAGTCAAACCAAACAAAGAACTATAGTCATATTAAAAAACGAGCAAAAACTACACAGTACTGAAAGCAGTGCTTCCGATCAACGAAAATTAGACATCAAAAATCGGAATCACATCAATTTTGAGGAGTCGGAATTAACAAGTTTAGAGCCTGGAGTTGGTCTTCTGCTTCGTGAGATGCGACCAAGACGAAAGGCGCAGCAGGCTTCGTAGAGCTCGCCCGCTTTTTTTCTTGTTTGCCGTGGGCGAGGCAGTGGCACAGCGCAGTTCTTCCGGCACTACAGAAACGTTTTCAACGTATATTGTTGGGTACAGTCCGGCAAACTGTGAATAAAGAAAAACATATGTTAGATAGCTTCTTTAAATGCATACTATTACTTAAAGAAGGTATCTTTATTCTTACTTTAAGTGCATGTATTTATGTATCGTTAGTGTTGTCAATATGGGTAAAATTCAACGCAACAATCAAAGATAGCTTGTTTGGTTCTAGAATATTTTTTCAAATAAATTCATTCAACTGTATTTATTTGTTCAAGCTATTGGACAGCGGCCAAGATTGGTAAATGGAACAATGAACAAAATGAATTGCCATAAAAGTTTGCAGGTATAATTAACAATATCAATATTATTACAACTTTGGTATTTACGATACCCTAGAGATATGACAAACCTGAGAAATCTTTTCCCTCTTGTCAGCCAGCGATAGTTTACGGTCATTGATGATTTGCAGCAGCAACTGTAGGAGATGATGTCCCTGTTCCTGCATTGATCTCTGTCGTTGCCACTCAGCTGCGTCCACCTGCACACAATAACTAGGAACTCCAGCATACATGTAACCCTTACTTGCCCTGTCACAATATTTCGTCATTTCTTTACGGCGAGGCAAAGTGGCCAGACTCTCGACGTTTCTTCTCGCACGTGGCGAGTGGCACGCGCCATCGATTGTCAAGTGATCGTCCAAGAAAGCTGATCTCCGTGTGCCTGTCTGGAGACATCGGATAGATCGTTCCTCACTTTCGGTTTGAGATTCGCAGTCAAGCCGAGGGAGAACTGTCTTGCTCCGATTACTGTGTGCAGCACCTGCCATGTGCTTCGGTATAGATAGGAGAGACGTCCCTTTACAGAGACTATTCAGAGTCTTTTCCATTTCCCTGCGCTCACAAAGCCCTTCATCTTCATAGTCAGAACGGTAAATTTCTTGGCACGAGCATCGTCGAGGTACACCAGAGTGAAGAGAGAGTCTTTCGCCACTAACGTGGTTCAAAGAAGTGATGAATTTATTTGCAGTAGTTCTTCTGCCCGAATTCACAGGAGAGACCAAATGGTGTAGAGAGTCATATTTAGTTCGAGTATCAGTTACTTGATCTCTTTTTCTCGTGGCTTGAAATGTGTTGATATTATTCACGTTATTAGCATCATAGTCGTGGAATGAAGCTGGAGAAACACTGCGTTCATATTGGTCAGCGTAATGGCAGTGGCTATTATAGCTCCTGTTGCAGTTAGTCTTACGGCAAGTAAAACTTCGGCCGTGCTTACAACTTGAACTACTGCAATTACTGTAACATTGAGTATTGCGATGAATGCAACAGGAGGTATCATTGTGATTGCAGCGATTGCGATGACACATGTTTGAAGCATTTAGATTATTGCAACTAGCAGAATTGCGATGACACCCAACTGAAGTGTTGCAATGAAAGTTTTTAGAAACCGTGCACTTCTCACGACCGTGAACTTTGTGGCAAGAGCTATCAGAAGCTTCAGGACTTTCATCAAGTGCATCATAGTAGAAACACTGTGAAGCATCAACACCCGTATCTAATTCAGCATGATTATTATCTATCGCTTCAAAGGTGATTAAACATTCACCTTCAGCAATTTCTGGCTTTGTTATACCAGTTCCAGTACCGCCAGGTCGTTTAGCAGAATTTACATCGACCGCCGTTAAGCTTGCCTGACAACTAATGGGGACACACTCTTTCGATTGCCGATTGTAGGGCATGTTAAGTTGATGATGAATCGTTTGTTGTTCATTGGCAGCGGACTCGATATTTTCGCGGGCAGGTAGTTCAGCTTGCAAACGACTGTAACTACCCAATCTTTTTTTGCTAATGGTAGGTTCATCAACTCTTTTCATCGCGATTGAACAATCACGGTTAACAAGCTCATCTTTAGAATTATTGTGTTCTCTTTGCTCAACATCCGTAGGGCAAACTTCACATGCAGGAGTAACAGCATTAGAAGCAACACTGATTTCTTTTATATCAACCTTCTTCACATTGGTTTCCGTGTTATTGGTCTTGGGATTTTTACACTGCGTAAAAGCATGGCAATCTTTTATCAAGTTTTTTGCCGAATCATAGTTGGGTCTCCTTTGGTTCACCAATGAACCTTTGCTATCATTCACAGCAATAGACGTTTCAGCAACATAAACGCAAGATTGTTGATCAAGATTCTTGGCCGTTGTCGACCAGGACCTTGCGGAGACGCTGGCGCGGTGAGGAGAACAGGCAACGGTCGCGCCGTCGTCACTGGGAGGCTGGGCGTCCTGGGTCAAAATGCAACGAGTGAACATGGAAGATTGACACGAAAGTTGACAAGTGAGGCGCTCAGTAAGAAGGTGCTAAGAGTGAACAACCGAACATGGAAGATTGACTACAAAAGGTGACGAGTGAGGCGCTCAGTAGGAAGGTGCAACGAGTGAACATGGAAGATTGATTACAAAAGGTGACAAACGAGGCACTGATTCTAAAAGAGCAAAAAATGAACATAGAAGGTTGAAGTTAGAACGTAGTTTCGCATCTGCACGTTCTAGCGTTCTAGAACGGCAGTGGCAGCAGACATAGAGCTACACCCAGAGTCAGAGGCTGATAGTTCAAATAAAAAGTGAACAACAAAGAAGCTGATGTGCAGAAGCTAAATAGAAGACGAGGCCCAGAATTTCAGAATGATAGAAATGAGCAAGGAATAGTGAAGCAAAAAAGTGAACTTTCAAGCAATCGTTTCACAAACGCAATGATTGAACAGATAATGATATGTGCAGGATATGAAGTTTAGACACGATTTTCTAGTAGATAAAAAATAATGAAAATTGAAAAAAAAAATCAATTCAATACAGCCGTCACCTACACAGCAAGGCTTAAAATTATTTACATTATTAATAAAATCTATTTTGCATTCAATTAATCATTAATGAGAAGCGTTAAAATTCATGCTGTCGTTAGTGCGTCTTTGGCAAGAAGCTTCCATTGTCCAGCAGGCTGGTTCGTGGAGACCACAGCTTATATCAGCGGTGAATAGGCATGCGTGATGAAATGTGAAATAAAGGCAATGTGCATTAGAGGCAATATGCAGTAAACAAGTGTCCATTTAAGGAAAATATGAAATGAAGGCAATGCGCAATAAAGGTAATATGAATAGACGATAAGTAATGAAGACAATATGCGCCAACAAAGAAATTTGATAAAATAAAAAGTTGATAGTTATGATGATCCCAACAAGTATTACGAAATCAAACAAATTCTTTGGGATGAAATTCACTATTTAAATAAATCTGGTGCATTAAATGAGTGAAGTCGCAAGTGTAGCTGATGAAATATGGAACATGATCATTACGCTTCAGAGTATTGCTAAACAAATATTTTACCAGTTTCCAACCACAAGCATCAGAAACAAAACTCATGATTCTTCAGCATAAACTGTTAGGATCACAACGCTAGCATGAGATAGGGATCAATTGTCATTAGCTGCAATCTATCCTACATAAATATTATAAGCAAGAGCCCTAATTTAAAATTCCTTATAGTAATAAACAAAAGCGAACAGTAGTTTCAATCAATAACAGTTGAAATTCAATATTATTTATTGGAAACATGAATTATAAAGAAATATTAAGTGACGTGAAATGTTTCTCTATAGCGTATTTGCATGCAAATTAGTGCCAAGGAAATATAGGCAGAAAGTGAATTTATATATAAGACGAGCATAAGCAACCAAGCACGAGAAAAAGTCAAGCCTTAATAAGGAATGAATTTAATGGAATAATGAATGCGGTGCCATGATACCGGCAGAACGAGATGAGAGTCCAGACTGTCACAGTCCAGAAGTTTCAGTAATGATGAAATTGTGTTTCAGTTCAGCAGGCGCGATTGTTATCCTCTTGTTGTTGCTTGTCATTGACCTTCTGACTTCAATTGTCTCAGCTTCATTTCTCCAATTGTCCTCGACGTTCTTGTTTCAATTATTTTTCTTACAATTTTGCGTCGACGTCGTGAACAATTTCTTGTTGAGAGCTGGCAAAATGTTTCGCTTAGACGGTATAATATTCAGTGAAATCAATTTGAAGAATCTTGTAAGTTGCAGTGAACGTGTCGTGTTTTCACAGCAAAACTATACGTGGTATTCATAGATCATGTCACACGTTACCAGAATACTACAAAATGCAACACTGCTCCTTGGAAGATGATCCTCGGAGACGTGTAGCTGAACCAACTCCAAATTCAGTTCGGTAAATAAGTTGCAGTCGCACTAGGGAGCATAATCTTTGTGTAGATGAATGTTTTCACAAACCTAACCACACTTTGATCAGGGGCCATACTTTCAGAAATCACTCTCCCTTAATAACACGCAGCGAGCGATTTCTCATCTGCGAATGGTGGGTTTATCTTGCAAAGACGTCAGTGATTGGCTGACAGAGTCACAAACTTGTAGCTATTTTTGATAGTACAGCCCAGAGCCTAAAAAGATCAAATGGCGCAAGAAATTCCACTCAGAAATATGTATTCATAACGAGAGTATGAATGCCATGAAAGCCTTACTCATGAATGAAGAACACAAATGAGTGAATGAACTGTCACTGCTGGCGGTTATTTAGATTTAGCGGAGCATGTTAGTGGATGACAAGCTTTATTGTTTAGTTTAAGAAATTAGAGCGATTGACGCTGATAAATGATGATCAGACGAGTCAAAAAATGTTATTAAAAGTTCCATCAATTGCTGAGCCAGGCAAGATATGTACATATTATTAGATGTTAAATAAATGATGATATTAAGTAGAGTAGACTAAAACACGATAACGAGAAAAGTAAATGAATTTTTATGTTGTCTATGCAATTTTAATATAAATTTCAAAAAGTAAAACACTTAAGAATTAACACTACAAAAGCTGACTGCTGCTCCTCAAGTTTGGACGCCCAAAACTGTCCTATTCAAACTTATGGGGAGTTGACCCGTTTAGGAATAGATAAACGAGTCTCTCATCCATACTCAGAAAAATCTACGATTTAAGCAAACTTTATCGCGCATTTCAAACACTTTGGTACAAATTAAATCGATTTTAACCTATTAATTCGTTGCGGCAAAAAGTTCTGGTCACACGGCGCACGTCCCCGGCTACTACTGAAGACCATGATGATGGATACGACTTCTTTCCACCATTTAATGCTGGAATTCTAGGAATGGCGGTTGATATATTCAAGATTGATCCAGCCTGGTAATTTGATTATTTCCAAACCATCAGGTAATACCGCAAGGAAAATGTAGTTTTTGATTATTAGCTCCCATTTAATATGCGCAGTTGTTCCAATATTACCCCTCTCGAATGCCACTCTGCCGGGCACTACCACAGATGATGTACCTGAGCAAGGTTGTCAGTGACAGCCCTAGCGAGGTGTGGTGAGGGCGACAGCAGAGTGTGGTGCTGGTCTACAAGGAGAGTGATGAGGCGGCGCCATCTGGCGTCACCACCACGCAACACGCACCAGCTGAAGTCGTTCATCACCACCTGCCGTGTGCTCATCAACGCACCACCTGTAAACAAGCCCAATAAGAACTAGGATCTCTTCAAGAACATTAAATCCAATAGCCACAGAACACCTCCCAAAGAAGAAAAATGTTGAATCCGGATATACTTGGAGATATCCAATAGCCAATTGAAAATTTCCTCGAAAGAAACTTTTATTTAAAGAGTTTTAGAATATCAGAACTTTACACACATCAAAACACAATAACAAATTGTCACACAGGGAACACTATCTAACGAGTATCAAATTATCAGTTAAAATTTGGATCTCCATAGACAAATTTAATTCAATAACCAGTTGTAAGTTCACAGTTGGAAAAAACGGTGCAAAAACGGTCCCACTGGCGTTCTGGGGGCCGGTTGCCCCGCGAAAATAAACTGTTTCGCCGTTTTTATCAGATGTTTTACGGATTTCTAGTGTTAAATTAGAATAAAAATGGCGACACGGTGTTTCTTTTCACGTGCCGACCGGCCACTGTAACGTCGGTAATACCGTGAACGGTAATTTTTCTAACAGTGTTGCTACAGTAGAAACAGCATCTAGTAAATATTGGAATGTAAGCAAATTTAATTAGAAAAAAAAATCTGCACCAGTTTTGATCCTTCGACCACAGCACAACTTTCTTGAAATGTTCAAATCATCTTTCAAGTTATATGATAAGCGCCTATTTTACTTGTTCAATTGACGGTACCTATACCCAACCGTAGGTACCCATTTATAGTTCATAGAAAAATGTACGCACCATTTAACAGATAATAGTGAGAATCTTGAACATTGTATTGTTGATCCTGGGCCAACTAACAGCTTGTATTCATTAGGAGTTAGTATTGTTCAATTGGGATAGGAAAGCTGAGTATATGAACAGGTGCATATGGCATATTAGACTGCATGGTCTTTTTTGTACGTATTGGGTCGGTCTTCATCAAATTTTTGAAGCATACTTCTCATGAACAGAGTAACGTGGTAACCTTTAGTGATAACATTTTGGCGATACAAACACAGTCAAATTATACTCTGTGTAGCATTAAATATTGTAATTTTTTGCATTCATGCTATTCCAAAAAATTGATTTCATCATAAACGTTATACAGCCTTATTCGTGGGTATAACACTGGCAATACATCAACACATGAATCATTTGACACGGGATAAATATACACCTGGCGCAACGAGAGCAGGTGCTTGGCTCAGCTGCAGCTGCTTGTTGTTGCTCATCTTGTACAGGAGGCGCAGCAGCAGGTGCAGGCGCCGGCGCGCTACAGGCTGCAGGAGCAACAACAGCAGCTGCACGCACACCAGCAGACGGTCGCGGCCCTCAGGCGTGTACACGCGAGGGGCCTCCAGCCAGTCGGGGTCGCGGCCCCTCGCGGGTACATCGACTGCTGTTGTGTCGGTACCTGCACCTGTAATGTCAGTGGTTGGTGAAAATATAGTACGATTGATGTAGAGCGGCGGTATACCATCAAATTCGCTGAAATAAATGTAGCGGAATAAGCACATGCCGCAAGCGAAGTGCACATAGCGGCCTTCATACAGGTAACGGACGATTTCTCATCTGTAATTCGTGGGTTTAGCTTGAAATGCGTGATAGACTGGCTGATGGAGCAACCAAACTCGTAACTATTTTCGGTAGTACGGCCCCGGAATTTTACATTCAAACCATGTTTATTAACAGGAAAAATGTACGCCAAATTGCTTGAACATTCTAGCACAAGTAGGTGGCCTGAATAAATCATGTCTACGCTATCCTCAAGTCCCAAAAATTAAAGAAGACGTGAACATGCACATAGGTCATTTATACCAATATACCATATTTTCTGGTTCACATGTTCATCATCAACAGAAAGGACATAAGCGATTGATAAAAATGGCTCACGATTATTGGAGGGGACATCAGTGATTGATGGAGAAGGATCAGGTTCCAGGGATGTTTCGATATTTGAGGTCTTGCAATGATCATCCAAACTGTCACTTGAAGTTTCAGAGGAGTGATGAACAAAAGCTGTGTTGCATATTTCTTGCTGTGTAATTTCTTCGCTTCCAACCGAGGAATGCATTTTGTGAGCGGATGTTTTTGATGGCAGAGGGCATTCTTGATTGCAGTCAGACCCACCCGCATCAGCACCTAATGAACGAAAGAAGTGAGGTCAGAAAATAGTTGAATGTAACACGAAAATACAAAGAAAGCATTTAATAAACAACGAAATACATAAAAAAAATCCTGAACGTACTTGCAAAATAAAGCCCAAGTTTAGCAATGAATGATGAAGATTTAATCTAGATGTAAATGAAAAGAAGTCTTCATAAGTTGCAGTTGAAAAAAAACACCTTGTGCCTTTACAATTCACACACCTTTGAGGGAAGAATATTGAGTAAGCGTGCCATCAATAAGATGAGTTGCAGTCAGTGGGTGAGGATCTGACTCATCGTAACATGTCAGGGCTGTAGTGTACAAACTTGATAGGGAATTGGACCGGGACTCCAGCCGCTGTGTGGGCGGTAATGGGGTGGACGCTAGAGAAGTTTGGAGATAGGCACTTCTGTGACTACTTCTACCATCGTGAGGAGAAATAGAGTCACTTGCTGAGTTATTTTTCTTATTATTTGTAGTTTGCTGCGTGAGCTGGTGATTAGATGCATAATGTGTCGAGAGGTTGGTGCAGTAATTCACAGTTGATTCTGATGACCATCCAGTGAAAGGAGAAAGATATGGTCGAGGCATTATGACTCTTTGCAATCGACCTTCCTGTGCTTCATCAGTTGGAATTAATTTAGAAGGACCAGGACCTTCAGTGGAAGAAGATGCACATGCTGACCCAATGGAGAAAGAGTCGCTCCAGTCAGATGGACTGAACGGAGATTCAGCTGAAGGAGGGAGTGCCGAGTCTCGACCAGAAGACAGGCTCAAGATTTCCTCGACTGACGGAGACGCGAGACCTAAATTCACAAAACCGCCAGATTTCGTACGCTGCACAAGTCGAGCACCGGGAGTTTCGACAAGAGCAGGATTGTTAAATCCTCCAGACGAAGCTCTCAGGCGACGCAACGTATCAACATTCTGTTGATGCACTAAGTAGCCTCGGTCAGACGAGACAACTCGAGCAACGTGGACCTCTGATGAAGAGTTATCATGGATCATGCCTTTGCACAAAGCATTAGTTGAGTAGTTTGGTGACGAGGCGTCCAAGGGCGTTTGTTTGGGGCTCAGATTCATTTGACTCGATGGCAATGTAACAAAATCCTTTGCATTCTTTTTCAAACGAGCACCTTCCTTGATTTTGGCTTTCTTTCGTCGAAGTGAGTCTCGCACTTTATGCACAAGACTTCTGCTCTTGGGGAGACCAGAGCTGCTGCTACAGCGGCCATCTGTAAGGGTGGAAACACTAAAGTCACTTTTTTCCGAGTCAACACTGAAGCAGCTTTCACCGCGACTGTCATAGCGCTGCAGTCTCCGTTCAGCTAGCCATTCCTGAGCAGAATTCAAATCGCCAGTCGAGTGAGACTTCCCGAATGACGCATCATGCATCATCATCAACTGATACTTGCGGCGAGGGGGAGGAGGCGGGGCCTTGAAGCAATGGTCACGTTGTTTAGGCAAGTCCTGCTGGTGATCATCAGGTGATCTTGCTTTGGATGGAATGTCAAAAGAGGTTCTATGGGACAACAGATACAATGGACTATTGTTGCAAGAAACACTACCGAAGGCAGACTGTCCGAGATGTAGAGAATTAAGGACAAACTCGTCATTGGGAATGACAGCTATGCTCTTGGGTCTAGTTGCTGAAGTACTAAAACCTCCACGCCATCTACTTTTCAGTTGTGCCAGGTGCAGAGTATCCACAGACTTTTGTGGAATGATGCGCGTTTTAGGACTGTCAGAAGTAAATGCTGTCTCAAAACAAGAGTTTGGAGGCAACTCAACACTATCAATTCGCTCTGGATGCACAACCAACTCTTGCTGCGACACTGACAAATGTTTACAAGCCTGTAGATCACCTGCACTTTGAAAACTGCTATAATTTACTCTTGCAGCGTTATTGTCTTGAGAAGGCAAATATATGGCCCTATTTCCATTGCTATTCATCTTTCCTGCTTGCTGTACAGAAAATCGTGCAGAGTATGAACGTTTGCGCGATTCGCAGTTGCCACTGTTTCCAGAACCTGGTCCCGCTTCAAATACGGGGGAATCTATTTCTTTATGTACATTCTCATCTCCTGGGAGTGAATGTAAAGACTCGTAAATAGAGAAACGACGCAAATCAGGCTCTCCACACCTGTCAGGAAAATCTTTCTTCTTTGAGAGCTTAGAGAAAAAGCGCCTTTTGTTCTTGCGTCTTCTCACGTCGTCACCACTCACATATTCATCATTGCTGTTCTTGTAAGTGAAGCGTTCAATGTGACTTATATTGGTTGATGAAAGCTCTTTCAGGTTGTAATTCACATCAGAAGGTGAACGAGATGAATGACTGGGAACATGTAACGGACCTTCAGAATCAACAATATGATTAGCCTCAAACTTGCGACTTTCAGTTCGAGTATCTTGTTGGCTGAGAATATTGCTTTCATGCACCAAATTGGTAGATGGTGCTTCCGACTCTCGTTCAGTGCACCACACAGGATCAAGAGCAGCAGGGAGTTTTGAGCGTGATGTGGGGGAGTGGTTGCAAGCCTTATCATAGCTGGCATTCAAGAACCTTGGCCCTATTTCAGGTTTGGTTTCTGTATCGCCACAGCTGAGTAGAGCATCCGTTTCGAAATCCGTGTACTCACAGTCCTGGTATTGATTAATCCCGCCAATGCTCATGTTCAACATGAGGTCCTCCACTGAGTCTCGCTTTTCAAGTTTGTCAGCGATTTCTCTTTCTTTTGTAAATGTCTTCCCAGTGGACCGCGGAAGAGTAGCAAAGACACTCACTGCGCCGTCTCCTAAACGATTAACTTGACCTGCATTAGAGGTGCCAGACACTCTTTTTGGTCTTAGACTTTCATCAGATGCTAGGAGATCGTCAGTGTAGGAGATTTGATCCTCGGTGCTACCAACAGCCAGTTGGTGCTGTCGGCGAAGGGAGAATCTCTCACGAGGATCCCTGAAGCTAATGTCCAGAAACTCCATGGCGGTGATGATCTCCAGTAGGGCCGTCGCCAAGGGAGTAGGGATCACAGGTAACGGCTGAAAAAAGAGAACTGGAATAAAACTACTGCAAAGTATCCGCATTACACTTTTTATTTGTATTTTTCTTGTGTAAATTTTATTTCTACAACTTTCCACAAGAAAATGATGTATCATTAATGCGTCTGGTGTTAATGAGGAAGCAATGCTTTTATATATACCTACAAAACATGAACACTTAAATATTATGCAAATAGTAAAGATCAAATGCTAGGAGAAAAAATTAAACTTGTAAATTTTATAAAAGCAATTCTATAAGCCGTTGCGCAACAAAGGGTACTTTACTCCAGATTGAAAACCACTTCTCTAGAAGCATCATATCGTAGGAAATAATGAATGACTTTCATATTCAGAACAAGTGCAATTCACCTCAAGAATGGTAACTAACAGCAGGAACCACACTATCATAAATAGTAACTACTTTGGCCAATTGCTAACGGTTTTTCAAGGTAATCCCACCAATCACAGACGAGAAATTGGCTACAAATTGCGTACTTAGGCAGCTACATGTACTTGGACTGCTATGCGCGTACTTGAACCGCTTCGTGTACTTGCGCCTCATATATAGGTACTTAGGCCACTACGCGTATTTCTGTCACTAGGTGTACTTACGCCAGTATTGGTGTAATTCAGCAAAAGCTTTTCTTTTGTGCATGTGTGATTGAAGACGGATAGGCAAAGACGGGCCATACTTTCAAAACTCGCAAGGTGAACGTAAGTACTTACGCTCTATTTTCTTGTCTATGATTGGTGGATTTGGCTTGAAAGTCCGTCAATGATTGGAGGATGAACTTACGATCTCTTTAACTTGTTTGGAAAGTATAGGCCCAGAGCATGCTTTTTATCAATAATCTTCATATCCGTTTTTTCAACGAGTAGAACAAAATTTTTTGCTGGCCCAGGGAGATTAAAAAGGTTACCAAATAACATTTTAATTGATTGCGACGTTTAAAAAAACAATTTTCATTATCAAGCGGGTGAAGGTTTTACAACACTTGAAATTAAACTTTTGGAAATGACAGTAGTACAAATCAAGGGTATTGTGGATACAATTTAAATAAATGCTTAACACGTTGCCTACGATTGCTTCATCTTGTACTATTATTACATTTTTTGTACTGTTTTTAAACAGGGTTGCCAGACGGCCATTTTTCCCGGACAAATTCCGTGATTTAGTTTTTCTCAATTGCGTTAGCCGGCTAAAATTTATGATGGGGGTACTTCCTAATTAAATTTTAAATACTGCAAAAATAAAATAAATGGAATTTTTATAGCGGAACCTACAAATAAACTAGTATATTTTGAGTTATCGGCCTTTTTTGTTCTCGGATTTGGCCGATTTTAGGCAACCTGAATTATGTACCACTACTTCCTGGAGAAATACATTTCGTGGTAGGCATATGTACCACTTCGTAGTCAACGTGTTAAAATTACTCTGAAAATAATTTTGGCGTCCGGACGAATCCCGTATTTTGGAGGTAGATGGCTGGAGACTCGCTCTTGATAATGAGAGCCTCAGCTCTTGATAACTGGAGACTCGCTCTTGATAATGAGGGCCTCAGCCATCGCCAGTCTCGATGGGTCAGGGCACCGCATAACTATGCTGGTGCAGGCTTCCAATGTCGCTCGGGTGATGGTCTCATTGTGAGCCTCCCGCATGTGGTTCTTGGGTCCTCCAGATTGTAGGTGGCATGTGAGTTGGTGGCTTAAGGTCGTGCTAGTTAGACCAATGTAGTTTATATTTTGAAGAAGTCTACAACCTTCTTTAATATTACGTGAGGATTTTATTAACAACATAGTTAGTTATTGAAGCAGTCCAGATGAGTATATAAAGCCGAACTTATATTTTATAAATTATTTTCAGAGTAATTTGTTAGATTAGTTGTTGTTAGATTTCAAGTTGTATCACAATACCCTAGATTTGTACTACTGTTATTTACGAAGTTAAATTTCAAGTGTTGAAAAACCTTCACCTTCTTGATAATGAAAATTGCATCTTCGAAACGTCGCATTCCATTAAAAATGTTATTTGGTAACCTGCTTTTTGATCTTCTTGCGTCAGCAAGAAATTTTGTTTGACTTATTGAAAAAACGAAGAAGAAGATTATTGATAAAAAGCATGCTCTGGTCTTTAATCAAACGTACGCCATTATTTGCACTGAAGTGCGTGTGAGTCCAGATGAAGAGACCAGTACGCACCTGATGAGTGAAGTAATCCTTGATCATCCTGTAGACATCGACCTCCACCCCGGGGTAGTTGGGCACACTGCACCCCTCCATTGACTGCTCCGAGCACGACGACGGCCCTGCAAACAACTAAATACATGAAGGCTCTGCAAAGCGTCAAATTAACGACGGTCCTGAACAAATTGATAAAGGTCATGTATCGGCTGGGAGGTTTGGGTTCAGCTGATGTCTGTGTTAAGCTAGATATGTTTGTGCTTGAATTCGTAGATTGGTAGCAACCTACGAATCATCAAGCATCAGCAATCAATCAGAAAACATTAAACTCAGTATTATGCAGAAATTTGGTGAAAAAATGTTAACCCAGAAGTGCTTATAATTCAATTAATTAATTAACCTGAAATTTGCATGGTTGTCATTATTCAACCTGAAATCAACATATTTGAGCGAGCAAAACAACATCATAACAATCAGCCTCAAGTAAGTCAAAGAGTTTTAATTAAAAAATTACCTAGATCCTAAAATGTAAGACTTGCTGTGAACTAGAATTTGACTATTATAATATGATGGTGAGAACCTGCTGTGAACAAGGATTTAGCTCACAGTGAGCAAGGACGTAAATCACAGTGAGCAAGGATGCAACTCACAGTGAGCAAGGATGCAACGAATACAACACAATAATGAAGACTCACAGTTAGCAAGGAACCGATGAATACAAGACAATAATGAAGACTCACAGTTAGCAAGGAACCGATGAATACAAGACAATAATGAAGACTCACAGTTAGCAAGGAACCGATGAATACAAGACAATAATGAAGACTCACAGTTAGCAAGGAACCGATGAATACAAGACAATAATGAAGACTCACAGTTAGCAAGGAACCGACGAATACAAGACAATAATCAAGACTCACAGTTAGCAAGGAACCGATGAATACAAGACAATAATGAAGACTCACAGTGAGCAAGGAACCGACGAATACAAGACAATAATCAAGACTCACAGTTAGCAAGGAACCGACGAATACAAGACAATAATCAAGACTCACAGTGAGCAAGGAACCTCATAGCAGCCAGCACCCAGGTGGGGAGGTCGTCAGGGTGCTCAGCAGGGACGAGCACCACGCCCCTACGAGAGACCTGCTGCTGGTTGTGGCGCAGCGTCATGCCGTGCACCAGCAGGCGGGGCAGCGACAAGGGACATCCATACATCAGCTTCTCCATGCTGCAAAATAATAACATTAATTATATGTAAAACACCTGATAAATTAGAGGAAATAGCACGGAATGATTCCCTATCATAATATTGTCAAGAAATATTCAAGTAACATTGAAATTATTTCTCGTCCTACTCACACTCTCTCGAGTGTTTGCTAAACTTGCATTATCTGCTGAAAATACATTCATAATCAAAAAATGGTCCCATAGAAAAAAGCAACTTCTTTTACTATGCTTAATTCAGCAAGTGAGATCTTGTAGCTAACACACCTATAATTATATAGTTTTCAAAGTAAAGGTCGAGGATGTAATTGATTGAAAACAGTACGAGGGCGAAAGTGTATATATTACAAAGTTGCTTGTTGTCCAAGATCTAATCTAAAAATTTTAACATAAACAAATTTCGTTCATTAAAGGCATATAATGGGCTAGACGCAGCGAGACTGCACCCAATTCTTTGCCAAGGTTAAGGCTAGGCATCTTGAGAGTAAATTGAAAATACTGGCTATTATTCAATAAAAGCATGGATCTCAATCTAGTTTAATTGCAGTAGTTACAGGACATATGTGATACCCGGGTAATGTACGTTATTCCAATTATTTGTTAAAAGTAATTCTGCCATAGGCATACCGTATATGTATTAGTACCTACCTGTTGTAATATAGTCCTGATTTCTATATGAATAAGTTCATAGTAAAATGACTATCTGATGTTAGATGGTCTGGCTTCAATACCGTATCAGTCTCAATGTACCCGTCGAGCTGACACGTTCTAACTACCGCCGTAATGTAATGTAAGTTTTCTACCACGTACATGCTGACTTTAAAATCTGCCGTTTAATTGTTTGTTGTTATATTTGTTATGTTGATTAGTATTTATTGTCAGTTACTCTTATTTCAGGTAACCGGACATTTGTTTGAATAAAGCTTGAATTGCCATGTATTACTTATTTCACAACAGTACCTATATACTTTTACTTTATACGGATGAATACAATACATGTCAAGCTCAACCATTGCTTCAGTTAAATTTCAGTTTTAGATACAATTAGATTTATACATTATAGTTATAGCCAGTTCAGATTTTCTAAATCTTGTTCCTCTTTAAAAAATTTTAGAAGAATCAAAGTACGTATTTAATTTTCATCATTTTATTTACCATTAATGCCTGATCATGAGAAAAAAATCATAGTGTAGGTAATCTAAGTTCATAGTGTTAGACATTTTGTTCATAAGGCTACAATAACCAGCGCATAATAAAAAAATTATTAACCAACAGTTTTAGTAGTATAAAGCCAAAAATACAACCGCAAATATGAACGCCACTAAAACAAAAGAGAATTTAATAACAGATATTTGAGGTAAGCATACAAAGGCAAAAGTTGCTTTGGACTTACAGCGATTTGCCAATGGTTTAATGTAAATATATTACTACTGAAAGAAGCAATTTAGAACATCATTTTGTAATAAATAGAACTTTATAAAAACATGCCTACAAAATGTGGCCACAATTAGTTGAGGGTCTCAGTATCAAGGATTTAGAGGTGAAAAGAATTAAAATTGTACTTTTTTAGGTTATGAATACATAAGCAGGAAGTTCAAAACAGGAAAAAGTAACTTCAAACAAACAGACATGCGAGATGTATAGTATGATCCTCAGATGCACATTGCACACATATAAAAAAAAAACTCACATTTCGAGCCACGCCTCGACGTAAATTCGTTGCTCCGTTTCAGGGCTAACAGATGCCTTGCTTGCCAGCTGCGATCCAGGCTGTAACGTGTCACTATCACCAACTGCATTGCTGAACTTGTGACTGCTTTGTTCCTCCTCACGAACTGCAGTGGTGAACTTCTGGGTTGAGCTTTTGCTGATGGTTTGATTTTCCTGAATGTTTTTGATATCAGAATGTGCTACAAAAGCATTTCTGACAGATTTCTCATTCAAGTTAGCAGCTTTGAATGTGTTTTTTGAAGAGAAATTAGGCAGATTAGCAGTTTGTGTGTTAGATGACAAGACTGAGTGCAGTAACTTGGGAGATATTGTCTTGGATGAAGAATACAGAGAATTCCCCGTCTTGCCCGATTCACCAAATTTAGGGATGAGACTTGAATACTTCGAGCCACGAGATTGTTTATGCAGAAATGATTTAGCTCGAGTCCTAGACGATGGATCCATCGTAGAAAAGCCCGAAATCAAACGTGAATACTTATCTTTCTCATCCTTATCATTACGAGACACTTCAGTAAGTGTATTAACTGCGTTGTTAATGGACTCAGAACTAGAGATAGATGGCACATTTTCTTTTGAACTAGTTCGTTCATCTCTTGGACAAATATCTGCAGAAAGTTTTACCGGCAGCATTTTGTCTTCATTGCAGAAATTCTTGCGCACTTCAGACAGAGGGACATACACATTAGCTGGGGTTTTATGATTACCAATAATGGCTGTGTTCAACACTAGTTCATTTCTCTGAGTTATGTAATTATTAGTTGTATTTTCAATGGGCTGCAGCGCATGCCGCTTTGAAGACTTGAATGACATTAACCTGGACTTGTTTTCCTTCAGCTTTGGTCCATGATCAATGCAATTCTCTTTATCTATCATCTTGTACTGATCGTAAGTTTTCTTGCTGACCCCAAGAATGTTCAGTGCTTTGTCCACATGGTCACTTTCGTTGAATTTTGATGGCTGAAATGATGCAGGTCTTTCCAAATCCTCACCGTCAACACCCTGAGGGTTGTCACATTTTGACAGACTCTTTTCAGTCTTGCAGACCTGCAATTGAACAATAAAATTTGAGCAAATAAAAAAATTAAATTCATATCGCAATTTAAAACTTCCTTTTGAATTAACTCCAGGCTACATGGAAGTAAATTAAAATATATATTTATAAGCATTTAAAGATGGCGGCAAACAATAAAATATATAGTTGACCTTTATTTTCAGTCCAATTAGTTGACCATTAAAGTATCGTGGATACCAAAAGCATAAAAAAGATACAGAAAAAACCTTAGAGTAGATAAGGATTTTAAATTGAATTCTAAATTTAAATTATTTAAATTTAAATAATAATTTGTATTTGTAAGATAGAAAGTCCATTACCTTATTATCAGCAAGAGGGGGAGATGCAAAGGTGTTCTGTTCAGCACGGAGACGCCTGGTGGAGGCTCTCAGCTCCGAGGAGCTTGAGCGTCCAGGAGTTCTCAAGGCCTTCAGTGGAGACATGCCACTGAATCTGCACACAAAATATTGGTGTGAGAAATAGCATATAATGTTCATTTCATATTAAATAATATAGTTATAAAGGAAATAAAAATGAACCAGCACATCATGGAAAATTCTATACATGGTACAAATCATCTTAAATTTTGAATAATCATGAAAAACTAAAAAAAAAACTTTAATAATCATGAAAACCAATTCAACTTCAAACTTTTTATGCCCAACCTCACTAGTAGGGAAATCAAAATGGAAACATCATAGTTATAAATTTATACATGGCAATAAAATAATAAAATAAAAATAATTCAGCCAATTTGTTACCTATAAAGACCTCTGTCTCTGAACTGTAAAGAGTATCCTCTGTCTCCACTAACAGCATCTTCCAGCAGCCCACACTTGATGAACTTTCTGAAATGAAACAGGCATGAATGAGCACACAATTTCATGTCTACTTTGACAGCCACACTTTATGAACTTTCTGAAATGATTTGATCATGAATTAGTGTACAATTTAGAGTAGTAGTTTGAAAACCACACTTGATTAACATTCTGAAATTATTCTTGCAGTAATGGGACACTCAATGTTATAAAAAAAATTTTGGGAATCATCAGTTGCCTTGTGGCTGCAACTTGCAAGATGGTCCAAGTAACTCTATTGTTTCAACCCTCCTAGCAGATCCAAGTTTAATATTTCAATATTCCAATATTTTCAGGAATATTTCTAGCATTCATGCCAAAACAGAGAGTAGCCTTTCATTTCAAGCATATCTTTGTTATAGCACTTCAAATTGTATCAATAAACCAATTTCAAAATTCAAATATTAGAATATATGAATAAATTCAAATCAAGTCTGAGATAATATCAATAATATCAACTTTCATAGATTCACAGTGCATAACAGGTTCATAAACATTCAGGCAAAACTTACTTGAGCAGTGCAGTAGTTTGTTCACGGGAGACTGAGTTGGAGAAGTTGGGGTTGTGGCGGAGGTGATTTTGAAGCCAGGCAACAGCCTCAGACCCAGAGAAGCAATCATCATAGATACGCAAACCTCTGCGGTGCCGTGACAGCGGCATGCCCGAGTGAAATGCCCGGACTGCTGCATTCCACTACAAAAGAAGATAAATTATAGTGAAGTATTTAAACTGGTATTAAAAAGTTAGGTAGTAGTTTCCTTATTTCATATCAATTTGATTTTCATGATTGACTATAGACCAAGTTAAAGGAACTGTACAGTATTATTATACCAACACTACATCAGTGAGTTTATAAATAAAATTTATGGATATTTTCATTAAATCACAGCACTATAATAGAAAAATCTAAGGCAAATATGGCTTTGAAATATATAGAATGGAAACATTTATTCCCGAGTATAGCAAGGATACAGCCAAGAATCTGCAGTTAGGATAGTTACAATGAGGGGCTGCTAGGCTGCCTTTAGTCTACAACAAATGACTCACAACCAAGTCAAGCTGAGGGAAAATAAGCAAATAGATGGTGAATCAGTTTTGGAAAGCAGGGCAACAAAATAAGATGGAATGAACATGGGGCAAACAAGTCTTGTAGAGTGAACAAGAGCAACCAAGTTTGGTAGAGTGAACAAGAACAACCAAGTTTGGTAGAGTGAACAAGAACAACCAAGTTTGGTAGAGTGAACAAGAACAACCAAGTTTGGTAGACTGAACAAGAGCAACCAAGTTTGGTGCATTGAACAAGGAAAACCAAGTTTGGTGAGTGAAAGAAACATTGCCTGGTCCAGAATCAAAGCAATGAAACTACATTGTAATGACAGCATCTTGAATAAAAGTAAAAAATACAGTCAATATCATTAACTTTGCCCCAGCACTGATGTTGCAATAAAAAAACTTTCTAGTTTTGTGGCAACAGAACCTTCAAAATTGTTATGACCACAGTTTCTTATAAGGTTGTTATTGATAAACAGCAAATTAAGTGCAGACTGTGCAGTAGCTGCTGTTTGGCAACTAATGTGTCATTGACAGAAGTTATGTTATAAATGATCTAAAAACAAATGAATTTTTTTTTAACTTTAGGTAATAGCAAACTTAAAGATTTAATAAGAAATCACAAACACAAAGGATTTTTTATAACACAAGTGATAGCTATACCACTAAAGAACCTCAAATTTTGTTATTAATATAATTAATTAGTATTACTTTAGAATAAGTGCATCAAAAAAAAAGGGCGTTTTTTTAATTATACGTTTTTTGGGGTGTAGATTAAGAATCTGAAATCTGTTTTTGGCGGTCGGCATTGGAAATTTTTAACAGAACCTGTTCCCAACTGGACCTAACTTGCAAGGTTTTTGTTGATCGGCTAGGTTTTTTCTATGTTTGGAGTCCCTCCGGTGGCCAGAAAAACCTAGCCAATCAACAAAAACCTCGCAGGTTAGGTCCAGTTAGGAACAGGGTCCATTAAAAATTTCCGCTGCCAACCGCCAAAAACGGATTTCAGATTCTTAATCTACACCACAAAAAAACATATAATTAAAAAAAACACCCCTTTTTTGCACTTGATCTAAAGTATCACCAATTAATTAGGGTAAACGCGGTATATTCCGACATCGTAGGTAATTCCGTCACTTCTCTAGTTTTTCCTTTATATTAAGCTTTGTTTTAGTTCCATGCAGACACATGAAAACTAATTCCGACACAACTTGAATTGGACACACACAGATCGTTCAAAGCTTTGTACAAAAATTTAAATTTGCCTAATTAAAAGCCTAATAGCTGTTAATTAAAACGTAATTAAGTAGTGTTCAATATTCGTTAGTGTTCTAATTCAAAGCCGTGTTGTATCCCAATACAGCTCACACAGCAAACAGAATTCGAACACGTGGATGTCGGCAATACGGATCAGTTAAATTTGAAGCGCTGACGCAATACGACTCACCACGTGTCGGATGTTGCCACACAAAGTGACGGAATATAGGGATTTAGTAGGTTTCCATTCTAAAGGCTTTTTAATAAATATGGCAACATTTTGTGACGTTTCATTGTTGCTGACGCGTAGTGAAGTGTTTTGAGAGTCATGTGAAGGCAACAGAACTTACGTAACGCATACTGTTTTTTTTTATAGTTTTTCATTTCTCGATGCGTCCTTAAAGTGTCGGAATATACCGCGTTTACCCTTTTTACTTAAATAATTATTAGACAATAGACATAGACCTAATGTATTTGCAAGTCATGCAATTTTCATCAAACCAAAATAAATACATGACATTGAATTTGGAAAGCACAAGATTTTAATTTCTATTCAATAAAAAACTGAGGGTTTGAACAACAGTAGGCCTATTAAAAAAAATCAGATTTCTCCAATCCTCTTTTACTTATAGTCAGACTGACTATAAAAAACACTGACTAGCTAAGTCAGTGTTTTTTTTTTCTTGCAACTGAAAAAAATTGCCACTTAGGCTAGGCCTAAATTAGGTAAATGGTAAATTTTGAATTGTTAATTTCTAGAATCAGTATTGCATTAGGCATGTACATGAACATGTTCATGTATCAACCATTCAAATATTAGAATTTCACACTGGCCAAAAAAATTTGTCTAAGTTTCAATACAATATTAATAATATTGTGATTTGTGGATGAAAAAAAAAGTATTCTTTCATTAAAGCCTACACAAACACAAATATTTCCTTATAAATAGAATGGTGTGACACATAAATTTAGATTTAGTCAGTAGAATAGAAGGTAATAAGAATATGAAATGAATAATATGAATTAGAAATGTTACATAGACTGGATATGTTTAATGTCAAGTTGAACTGTTGAAGTTGTCAACTGACGACTGGGGCATCGACTTAAAAGAAAACTACCGGTGGCGGTGGCAACTCCATAAACAAAACAACGTTACTAAAAAGCATTACACTATGCGGTTATGGTCACTCACTAGTTTTGTTGCCCTATACGGTCCCGAAATGACGGGTATTTTATTCAAACTTTCGTCCATATCTCATAACCTTATTATTCTCCGAAAGAGAATAACAACACTACATACAGTTGTAATACTTCATACCGGCACTCACGCAACAAACATCCGTTTGAATATGGTGCTGGTCGGTGATTGGCCAGGAGTTCTTTAGTCTTCCTTGTCCGTAAATGGCAACTCTTTGGAAAATATTAAATACATGGTTGAGCTACGTAGTAGGTAGTTCAACCATGGTTAAATAGATGAGAAACATTTTTTCTTACAAAAAAATGCAGAATGACCACTTAAGAAAGATATTAGAGTACTCAACATATTTTAATCGATTTTTAGAAAGTTTGTCATAGAAATTAAGGGTCATTTGAAACAATTTGATCGCTCATTACACACCGGTTAGTTTTAACAATTTTTTTAGAAATATCTGTATATATCAAATGCCGTCAGAATAAGTTTCAATGAAATAATGACATTTTGCATAAGTGTTAAACTACCTGTTTAATCGCAGACGAAGACATATCAGTGATTTCAATCGTTCTATGTTTGGACAGGGTGGCCTAGTGGTTACAGTTCAGAGTACCAAGATTAGATAGAGCAGAGAGGTGCGGGTTCGATCCCAGCTCAGTACGCCTGTTTCTGGTCAGAATCGGCAAGGAGGCCGGGCGGTTAAGCACAGCAGAATTGCAGCAGTGAGTTGCGAGTTCGAGACCGCAACAAGCTGTGAATATTCTGTGATGTTAAGAATCGGCGACAGGCCTACGGCCTACTAAACGATGAATCCGCTATTATTATTATTAGTACAAAAGGATGGTCCACCGCATTCCACAAATACTGTTAATCACCCGCTAATATCTGGCATTTCTGCTTTTTATCTTGCACAAATGTGAAAATGTTCGATTATATTTAAGCGACAACCCACTTATACCTGGTGAATCGCGTGCAGCTCAAGTTGCGAATCTTGTGCTAGGCAGTGAAAATTATTATGAATACTAAATGGTAGTCAAATAATTTTTTCAATACCTAACCAATTAGGTACATTCCACTTCAAAGGCCCTTCAGTACCACCTGCCGTTGGTCGCTTACCGCAGTACAACTGGCATACAGTTAGTTTAAATTTAAATAATATAGTTTATGCTGTAAATAAATTTATTATATATAATTCAAGCACTGGAAGCTATTTTTTGTGCAAGTTTCTATTATACAACTATGCTTTTAGGAAGAACATCCATGCCGTGGTTTAGCGGTGCGCTTGGAATAAAGTTATGGCTAACTGTTTATTAAGTTTATTCCAATTTAAATGAATTCATTTAAATTATTATTAATGATAATGCAAATGAGTATCAACGCTAATTAGTTTGATTTACTGAATTAATATTGGTGCATAAACAGTGATCGCTTTCTTGGCTTCTAAATGTCAGACAAAGATCATGAAGTCGGAGCGGATTGTTAAAGGTTATGGCATTAGCTGAACAAGAAATAATTAATGCGACAAATGAAGACGTCACGAAAGGTTGGATTCAATCTTGCATTCGTGAACTTTGGGTCTCTAATCCCATGCTTTAAAAATGCAAGAATACCGTGTCAGTTTTTGGTGGCATCTTCACAGGCCTTGTCATTTAGAATTAAACATGGCCAATCACATCGCGGCTGAGAGCGTAAAGAGCAACGGAATGACGGCACACAATAATATCAAAATGTTATACGTTTCCTTTTTAGGTTTTAGAATCTAATATACAAAAAATAAACCCATTATAGTTGATATTTTCTTGCATAATATTTAGACGTCAACGTGGTCATCTTACTATTTATTTATTCTTAACTCGATGATTTTACTTTAGGCAAGCGATACAGATGCTTCAAAGTCAGGCCTATGTTTTATGAAGCCCTACCGAATACTTACCTAAACTATACATCATGTACTGTAATTATGTTTTCAATATGAATCTTTTAGTACGGACTTTAGAGAGTTTATTGTTAGGTTGTGGGAATACGGCGTGGAGATTTCAATTCTACATTAAGATAAGATATATTTTAAAAACTAAAATTGACCCAATGTGGCTGACAAGAACCGAAGCTGAAAATTTTTTAATCTGAACTCGTTTAAAATCATGATAATGTTAATGATAGTATCCTGTATGGAGTTCTGAAAGATCGTGAGGTCACCGAAACTTTTAGAGGATAAAAATTTAGTCGAGAGCGTTTTAAATGATGCAAGGTAGAACAAACAATTGAATTAGCAGGGCACAAAACACAATAAAATTATACATGTGTAGTCGTGGTATATAAAAGATTCCCGAATGACCACTAGAATATAAAAAAATGTAACTCAGTACTCACTGCAGTGAGTGACAGAGAGCACATTTTCTCGTCGACGAAAACTTGAAGTCACGGATGGACAGACAGACGGACAGACAGACGGACATGGCGAGCACAATAGTGCATTTTTTTCATAAATGAGAAAATGCGCTAAAAAGACATTTTTGTTACGAGAAAAACATATGTAGGTGCAACGCACCCATGAGACAACACTTCTCGCTTGATGTCACCGACATGCGCAATAAGACTCCCTGCAGCTGCTGAGGCCCGAAGTACTAAGGACTAGAGACTGAAAAAATATAACTCGGTACTCACTGCAGTGAGTGACAGAGAGCGCATTTTCTCTTCGACGAAAATGTGGTCACTGTCGGACGGACGGACAGACAGACGGACGGTCATGACGAGCACAATAGCGCCTTTTTTCCATAAATGAGAAAATGCGCTATAAACTATGCTATTCAGGCTTCGGTTTATGTTTGGACGAGATGTTCCGCCCGTCTGGTAATATACAAGTATAATAAAAGTAGCCACAAGTATGCATATATAGTATCAAAGACAGATCCGGTCTGTATGTTCAAATAAAATTATTAAACCCTCCTGCGAGCATGAGACAAAAATTGTAAGATTCAGCAATAGACCATATAATATATGTGGCCTATACTATACTATACTATACTATACTATACTATACTATACTATACTATACTATACTATACTATACTATACTATACTATACTATACTATACTATACCGTACTACACTATACTATACTATACTATACTATACTATACTATACTATACTATACTATACTATACTATACTATTATACTATGCTATGCTATACTATACTATACTATACTATACTACACTATACTATATCTCATACAAACAAACTCTGGCCACGTGTCTATTTGTGTTCTATTTCCAGAAGAAATTTCTAAGAAGTCTCAAGGCTTTTCCAGGATCTGTGTGAGGCTTGGGCTAAATTTGTGCACCGCCGCGTCACGTGAATAATATTATTCAATTTACGGAGGAGCTTCACAATGACTACTGTCAGGCCAAAAGAATTTGTATGGTACAATCAAACACTATAATTTAAAAAAATAGAACTTGCATGGTAAACTCTCGCACAATATTTATTAAAAAATGTACTCGTATGGTATAATCGAATATTATTTATGTGTCAATATATAAATTTGCTGCATTTAAGTAGCACAGTGAAATAACATTAATCTAAACTTAAGATGCATAGGTCACTGAACTCGCCGGAAGACTGGCGACTCATAGTGCCAACGGCCTGTGATGCCCGGCCCCGTACTATCAAAACTAATTAGAAGTACGTAACTTCATCAGCCAATTACTGACGGCGTTTCTTGCTAAACCCACCAATCACAGACGAGAAATCAGTCTCTACGTGTACTTAGGTCGCTGCGTGCAGTTAGGCCGCTAGGTAGGCCGCTACGTGTACCTAGACAGCTATGTGTAGTTAGGACGCTACGTGTTGCTAGGCCGCTAAGAATACCTGTGTCGCTATTTGTACCCAGGCCGCTACGAATGCTTAGACCGCTGCGTGTAGTTAGGACACAGCGCGTACTTTGGCCGCTACGCGTACTTTGACCGCTGCATGTACGCAAACGAGTTTTGATAGTATACGGCCGCTAAACAATGGCTGCCGATGTGTCAGCACTCGATGCGTTAGGCTGACGCCGCTGTGGCTGCCAACTTGTTGCTATGGCATGGTCGTCATATAGGGCATTCACCTACACAAAACTGCGAGTGATGCCAAAAAATAATTTGTTTTATTCTCCAGAAATGAGGATAAATAATTATTTTGTATATTTTTGATGTCATAAGGAATTGTAATGCGGGTAGCCTGCACGTGATGCCCTGACCTACTCAACAGCAACAGAGGCTTGCTTCTCCTGCACTCTACCTGGCCGAGACGTGATGAAACAGGGAGCGTTGAGTGCATGAAACAGGGAGCGTTGAGTGCAATCGTAGAACTGGCGACCATCGTAGAACTGGCGACCATCGCAGAACCAGCGACCATCGTAGAACTGGCGACCATCGTAGAACTGGCGACCATCGTTGAAATTTAATATAAATAATATTTAGCAATCATAAATACTAGGTACTTAATAATAAAAATTACATTTATCTATAATGCATACTATTTATTAGCAAGACATAGTATTTTTAATAATAAATACTATTATTACAGTATTTATAACTTTATCTTGATTGTATTTCTCAGGAAGTCATGACTAACTTGGTCGGCACTTGACTGCATTTTGGGTATTTTAGATATAGTACGGTTGTTTTCAATTAAATTCGTTATTTGTTTGCTCTAAACATGTACGTTTACAGTTTTGGTTTGTATAGTATGCACGTATATATAAAACTTGATTCAAGTTAGCTAGATGGCTTGACACTTCCGTAACAACTAGACTCTTGTACGCAATGGCCAAACTTCTTGTGGAGGAGCGACGGAGAATTGTTTATTTTTACAACTGCTGATCTGAGTAACAAGACGACTAATGGCGAGTGTTAAGTTACTTGTAATTATTTGTCCTAGTGGTATTTTACCCCAGTTTTTCAACTGCTGATCTAAGCAACAACACATCAAGTTACTTGTAATTATTTTAGATGTGTATAAGAGACAGAGGGAGCGTTGAGTGCATGAAACAGGGAGCGTTGAGTGCATGAAACAGGGAGCGTTGAGTGCATGAAACAGGGAGCGTTGAGTGCTTGAAACAGGGAGTGTTGTGTGCATGAAACAGGGAGCGTTGAGTGCATAAATTT